GCCAGAAACAAACAGAATACCCACCTAAAACAGTGGGTACCTTAGTTTCTTGATAGAAAATACAATTCACGAGAAAGGTGTTTGCTCCCCATACAGGCGCTCGAGCTTTCCGGCCGACTTGACTTTAAACTTAAACTCAAGATTCCCACCCAGAGCACGTGGGTAGTCAATCGAGCCTTCGACTCGCCAAACCTGCAAAAAGCACCACTCCAATCCCTGCTCAATACACAGGGTTTCGGGGAATTCAACCCCTATCAACTGAGCTTGTGTAGGCTCAGAGGTGTGTGCTTTCTTGCAGGTTTGCCAAGTCGAAGGTTTGATGGACTTCCTGTGTGCTCTGGATGGCCGTGGTGAGATAGTCAAGTATCAGGTTTTAAGTCGGATTTTGAAAAGTGAGGCACGCGTTTTTCGGGCTCTCCTTTTTTCCCCTTTTTTGCAGCCCAGCCGGCATCAGGCCGGACTGGAAGTAGACTAGATCAGTGATTAGAAATAGCAGATAGAATTAGAGTAGTGTCGGAAACTTGCCATGCCCGGAGCTACCACGAGAACTAACTCTCGTGTATCAGCCTTGACTGAATCTGAGACGAAAATGTTGGGCTCCCTGCCTAGTATCGAGTCGGATGTATCGGCAGTGCTAAAAAGTCTGGCCGCACTTGTCTCCGAGGCCGCCGATCGCGAGGATCGCCTGAACAATAGGTTCGATGAGCTATCCAGACAAGTATCTGAGCTGAAGGAGGAGGTAGCTTCTCTCAAAGAATCCGCCATTGCCGCGGCGAAAGCTCCTCAGTCATGCCAGCCAGGACGTACTACGAACCCTGACCGTACCCGTACTGACCCCGCACAGCCTGCAGGCAGTGTAGCATGAGTGCGAGTACGAGCAGATCTACCAGCTACAGCAGCGCGCTGAACCAAGGTCCAGCATCCGATGCGCCCCGTACTGAATTTGAAAATGATGCTCGCCCAGCAGCCAGCCCTGGCCACAATGTGCACAGCGTGAGCGAGAGTGACGCGGATGACGGTTTTCAGCAGCCACGGAGACGAAAGCGCAACAAGAGCACAAAGGTGTTGCAGCCCATCTCCGACGATGCATGGAAACTAATTGCAGATGAGCCCCACAGAGCGAAGAGAGCTGTCGTATATGTTGGTAACCTCAGCAGGGAGACAACTGAAGACCGGTTACGCGAATTTGTTGATTTGCGTAGCAGGGCCGTCAACTCCGACACACCAGTAGTGCTCCACACCTGTAGCATGCATGTCAATGCTAGCGGCTGCATGTCTGCAAGAGCGTTTGTGGATGCCAGCTCCCTGCATATCCTGCTGGCTGCCAACTTCTGGCCAAGGCCACTTTATTGCAGGAGGTGGACCTTCCACACATCCGACACTCATAAGACAGTACCAGGGTCAGCTCAGCCTGGCTGCCCACCAACTGACACGCCAGAGACATCCCCATCCCTGCCCAATCCACTGCAAAGCGCAGGTAGCAACAAAAGCAGCAGTGCAGATACTGTAAGCAAGCAACAATGAAAATCCTCCTTACAAATGCTGGTGGAATCATGTCCAAATTTGGAGAGTTTCAACACGCGCTTGTATCCTCCAAAGCTGATATCGCTGTTGTTACTGAAACCAAGATCACCGCAGAGAAATTCTCCCTTCACGAGTCAGCCATCCCAGGGTACTCCGGCCCACTCCGGCGTGACAGGACTGAACATGGTGGTGGCATAGCAATCTGGATACACAGCCCATTGGCGTACCATCATCTAGATCAGTACGACTCATCTGTTCACGAAGTAACTTGGCTCACAGTGCAGTCTGCCCATCATGGTAAGATAGTGCTGGGTGCTGTATACAGGCCAGGATCCGCCTCAGACACTGATATCTCAACACTTGAGCACCTCGATGGCATCCTGGATAGCGTCAGAAAACACGGCACCCACACCATGCTGGTCGGAGACTTCAATGTCCACAACAGGGCTTGGCTCGGCAGCTCTAAGACCACCCGTGCAGGGGAGTACATGGAGGAACTAAGCGCTGCCCACAGCCTCATGCAGCATGTCCAAGAACCAACCCGAGGTCTCAACACCCTGGACTTAGTGCTCTCTGACTTCACTGGTACTGTGACCACCGGTATCTCGCCGCCGATAGGAAGGTCAGACCATTGTGTTGTCCACGCTGTGCTCGCTCAAGCCCCGCTAGAAAATGAGCCCAGCACACGGAGGCGTGTGTGGCGATATGGCCAAGCCGACTGGAACAGACTGCGTGCCCACTACCGTCGCATTGCCTGGGCAGCTGAGTTTCCGGAGGACCCAGAGGAAGCATGCAGCCTTGTTACTAGGCACATCGTGTCTGGGATGCTGCAGTTTATTCCCCACAAGATGCTGGAAACAAGGCCGTCCGATCCGAGCTGGTGGACACCAGAATGCACTGAGGCTCAACGTGCCAAAGAGAAAGCGTGGAAGGCCTGGCGTCACCAGGGGCCCAGCGAATGCCTGAAGCAGTCGTTCATGACAACTGTCACTCAATCTATTACAACCCAACATCGTGCACAACAAGCTGAAGAGCAGACAGTCCGAGAGCGTCTCACAAGTGGTTCCATGAGAGACAAGGACTGGTGGAGGAATGTCAAGCGCGCCGCCGGTCTGGGTAGGACTACAGACGTGCCAACACTCACTGATGCTGACGGGCACGAGCACAGTACATCGAAAGCCAAGAGCGAGTGCCTTGCTAGATTCTTTGCTGAAAAATGTAGCCTTGGGAATAATGACATCGACAATGCTGAGTTACCAGCAACACCCCGCACTACCACTCCGGGCCTGCAGCGCATCCGCTTCCGCGTCTCTGAAGTCCAACAGTGCCTGAAGCGTCTCAACACATCTAAATCCACTGGTCCAGATGAGATCCCAGGACGAGTACTCAAGGAGTGTGCAGCTGAACTAGCACATCCGCTGGCTAGATTGTTTCGCCTGTGTTTTGCAAATGGAGTCCAGCCCCAATCATGGAAAATTGCCCGTGTCGTTCCAGTGCACAAGAAAGGACCCAAATCCATGATGAAGAACTACCGGCCTATATCTCTCCTGACGATCATCTCTAAGATCATGGAAGGTATCATCAATCGGCAGCTTGTGAACCACCTGGAAACCCATCAACTCTTCTCCTCGTCCCAGTTTGGCTTCCGACGTGGACTGGGCACAAGTGACCTACTGACGGCTCTCCAGCATTCCTGGGCCACTACCCTGGCTGGCGGCGGTCTTGTGCATGCCCTGGCAGTTGATATTGCCGGGGCATTCGACAAGGTTTCCCACCCAGGTGTCCTTGCGAAGGCACAGCAATGTGGCATCCACGGCCAACTCCTGGCTTGGCTAAGGTCGTATCTCCATGACCGAAAACTGACTGTAGTTGTTGGCGGTCAGTCCTCCCCACTGTTCCCGATCAAGGCTGGAGTGCCCCAGGGTAGCCTCCTAGGTCCCACTCTTTTCCTGTTATATGTAAACGATGCAGAACAGTGTTTAGCCCCAGGCTCCAGTCTAGCTGTCTATGCGGACGATACAACACTCTATGCCCTAATCAGAAACCCAGATACCATCGCTGCTGCTTGCAATAGCCTCCAAGCATCTATTGACCGCCTGCAGACTTGGGGTGCCCAATGGAAGATAAAGTTCGAGCCATCAAAATCTCAGGCAATACTCCTTGACCGCCACAGACCATCCCTGGATGTCCCACAGCTCACATTTGATGGCATGCAGGTGCCTGAGAGCCCTCAGCTCAAGCTGCTAGGAGTGTTATTTGACAGTACTCTCTCCTTCCGGGCCCACATCCGTTCCCTTGCCGTTAGAGCCAACCAGCGACTCGGCCTGCTCCGAAAGGCATCTCGGATCCTGGACAGTGCAGGGCGCCTAACTGTGTACAAAGGATTTGTACGGCCTATAATGGAGTACGCCCCTCTCGTCTGGGCAAGTGCGGCACATTGTCACCTCCATCAGCTGGACCTGGTCCAGCGTCGAGCCATGAAGGTTATTGGCCCCTCATTGCTCCCCAGCCTGGCAATCCGAAGGCATGTTTACGGGCTGTGCTACCTGTATAAGCTGCAATGTATACCAGGTCCAGCTCTGCTTACCAACATGGTACCTCCCCAAGCAAGAGTTAACGCTGCACCCCGGACGCGCCGGCAACGCCAGTCCCTCGGTGGCCACTCTTTCCAACTCGCAACTCCTCTGCCAGCCTCCAGTCCAGAGTTCATCCGCCGCTCCTTCCCATACTTTGTCCTGGAGAGCTGGAACACACTGCCTGCCCCAATCCTCGCCGAACGCCCAACTCTCAAGAAATTGCCCACATTCAAGACCAAGGCCTACCATCACCTCCGCCAGACCAATTGGCTATGGGCCACTGAAGTCCACCAGCACTGAGAATAACCGGTTGTCTCTATTATTATCATTTTCTGTCTCTCTCTCTCACTCTTCCTCTCCTGGGAAGCTCCTCATGCTCATTCTCCCTTTCTCTGTCCATTTCCCCTTCCTGATGCGTAGACCAACTGTTGAACCCGAGACCACTAGGTCGGGGGAGGTTGACCTACCTCATCGGCACGCATGCCACGCTCCTCTGTGTTGTCAAAGTTCGCTTGTCCACTTTTGTCTACCTCCCCTTTTATGTTGCTGGCCAGTGCTTTGTAGTAAAAAAAAAAAAAAAAAAAAAAAAGGGCAAGGCGGCGGCGCAAGCTCCGTTGTGGAGAGCAAATACCATTCACAAAAAAATAATCGCCTAAGTCGCTACCGCCATCATATATAATCTAATTCAAAACAATGGTTTGCTGTCGTGTAATTTAGTTGCATTGTCCATATGCAGTCGCATACCTATAATTCAACCAGAGGGACATTTATTAAACGGGACATAAATTGGGGACAATTATTTAAAACCCATTCGAGGTGCTAACGACGTATCCAATAACAAACGATGCGATTAATTGGGGACAATTTAAAACCCCTTCGGCGTATCCAATAACAACGCACCTGTCAGGTTTTGACACAATTCGGCGAGCTTTCCATTCACCCTGTTGTAGACCAGATCTGCGGTGTCGACGATAACTGCAATGTTCAATGTGTTATCGCTCCCGTCGCCTCCACTCTTTGCAGTGTCGCGGCAGGCATCTTTGGCTCCTTGTGGGATACCTTTGCCCGGTGTCCATTTTGTCAAACTGACCTGCTGCACTCCGCTGATGTGAGGGATGCACGTGTCCTGGAACCGGAAGATCTGAATAGTTGGAGAACACAATACAATTTAACTCCTTTCATGGAATACGTCCTACAACATAGTCTCAACAGTACAGTTTTTTGGCTCCTACGAATGCGGCCAGGGCCGGTGAAGCCAGATATTTAGAATACTAACCATCGGGAACCAACTTTTCTGATCATTAACAATACAGGTCTGCCAAATGAACAAGTCTCGACTTCTTGAGTGTGATAGGGCCTAGCAACGTCCCCTCCCTCGCCCTGGTTCCCTTCTTCCCCTGCAGGCATATTTTCCCCGTGCATGCGGAAGCGGGCATCTTCATCTCAGAATTTGAACGAAGCCGGACTATGCCTGAGGGAAAGAGTTGATATACAAATAATGCAGTACATTGAATGATCCTATGTCTTGGACTGAGAAGCAAATTACTTGTAGTTAAGATTGCTGAATTTCGTCACTAGTGCTGATGGGTTGATGCACATCTGTCTCCCTATCTCACTCACTAGTTCCCTCTCACACACTCGCTCATGCTCCTTATCTCTCTCTCTCTATCTCACTCTCGTTCTCTCTCCCTCTCTCTCTCTCCCTCTCTCTCTCTCTCTCTCTCTCTCTCTCTCTCTCTCTCTCTCTCTCTCTCTCGCTCTCTCGCTCTCTCTGTCTCTCTCTCTCTCTCTCTGTCTCTCTCACTCTTTCTCTCTCTCTCTTTCTCTCTCTCACTCTCCCTAACTCTTTAACTCTCTCTCTCTCTCTCTCTTTCTGTCCGTCGGATTGTCTGTATGTCTTTATGTCTGTCTCCCTCAATCTCTCTCTATAATAATTATTGTAATCTCTGTCTCTCTCTTTCTCTCACCCTCTCTCTCTTTCTCTCACTCTCTCTTTCTCCCACTCTCTCTCTCTTTCTTTTGTATCTGTCTTTCTCTCTTGCTCCATGTCGGGGCGATAGAAAATGGAAAGGCTAGTTTTATTCAAATCCCACCAACCTGCAACTGAAATTCTTTGTTCTCCTCTCTCTCCTTGATGTACATGTAGTGCAGGTGAATCCTTTGCATGCACATTTCCTCCGGATTCCAGGCTCTTGTTCCGATGGTTATCCTGCAACGACTTTTGCCCGGCGCGACTGTGCTTTGGCCCGAAATATTGAAGTCGAGAGACCACGGGGAGGCAATGACCTTCGGCAACGGCTCACGATCAAACTGATTTCCCACATGGCAGCCTAACATTACGCGCGCCACTTCCCGCCCCTGAGCAGCCGATGCCTTCGTCCATATGCTCAGAAGCAGTTCTTGCTCGCCGTCTTGTTTGCCTTCACCAAGCTGGATTCCAGCCTTGTCAAATGTAACTGTAGACCTCAGGGACACGGTATGGATTTTAGTTTTCTCGTCCTTGCAAACGATACACACCAACCTTCCTGTATGGAACATTGTGGAGAAAAGCAAAAAAGCAAAAAAAGAAAACCAGGCTTGGAGGAAATGAATGTGAAGAGCGGAGGAAACAATAATGCACGTGCTATTACAGGCTCAGCCTCACTTCACACATCCAACTTGCTTGTAACTGGAATCTCCTGTCTAGATTAATTTGTCTCCGACCCTTAATAAATCGGTAACCTTCCGCGACAGCGCGTCCATGCACTTCAGCGCGACCGCCTTAGCGAGAGGCATTTCAGCACGGTGCCATTTCAGCGCCGTGTCTTGACAGCGCCAATGATTTCAGCGTGAAATTTTAAAGCGCAGGACATATCAGCGCCAATTTCTTCAGTGCAGATTTTTTCCACGGGAGGCACTTCAGCGCCGTACATGTTGATGCACGTACGGGCACCAATTAGTGACTTTTAGTGACTATCAATGACTATTGACAACTTGTACGGAGTATTACCACTGCCATGTACACCAGTCGCCCTATAAAAGGCACAGTATTTTCGGAGAAAGGCCATTATTTTCCTGAATTTTTCTATGCAAGCTAACTCTCAAAAATGGAATTGAACCGATTTGAGACAGCCAAGGGCAAGCCGGCATTCTGCCAAGGTGGTTACACTTATCGCCTTGATAAGCGTGCCAGTGCCGCTGACGGTGAACGATACTATTAGGAAATCACTAATTTTGACTTTCTTTCGAATGTTGGTCGACTTCTTCATTTCTAATCTACGGATTCTCTTGTCATATCGCTATATGCCTACTAAATAATTTCAATAAACTATGTGAAAACAAGTTTGTCAAAGAATCACCAAATCACCAAATCCCGCTAGCCAGAGTGCAGGCAAGACCACTAATTCCGTGCGAACGATAATGCGTACGATACTGCGCATTATAGTACGCGCGAAAATGCTTCGCGCTGACATATATGCGCTGAAATGCCTCACGCTGTAGTGGACGCGCTGTCGCGGGATGGAATCAATAAATCCTATTATTGTCGGATTGCAAGAATGTTCAGCCTTCCGGAAAAGCCTTTGTGGTATGATTTCACCTCAGACAATATCTTGTACATTGGCAGTACACAAGGGTGCAGCCATCTGTAACCGAGGTATGTATGTACTATAGGACAGATCGTCTGAGTTTCAGGCAACTCTGGAAGTTTACATGTGCTCGTTCGTTCTTGAGGAAGGGGGGGGGGATTGGTGATTCTGAGGAGCTTTATCCAAAACCTTCTAGTGGTCGCCGTGGAAGTCAGCATGCTCTAAGAACTCACATACAGAATTCACAAGTGGTAATACTGGCGCACGTCGTGTAAGCCCCAGTACCTTTTGAAAGTTCTTTCAACGCGTTGTACACTGGCTGGAGGGTGTTGGACTGCTGAGATGAAGCGAGAGATATCGCCAGGCGATTGCTGTCGTCAATTAGAAGAATCGATGTGACTCTTTCCTTTTCGGTCACCGTTAGAGATTGGATCTCACTTGCGACATCATTGATTCTCTGTACGCTGTAGATGCCCTCTATTGGCTCTCTCCATTCTAGAGGAATACCATGATGCTTTGCGATGTACTCAGTGACGATCCTGATGTTCTCCAATGCCTAGAACAGAGTATATAATGAAGAGTATATCAGATAATGTAATGCTGCTTACAATCACACAAAAAATAAAATCCATTCTTCTGAACTACGGGTTGCACAAATTCAAACAATAATTAAACAATGATACTAAGATGTTACTGACAGGGCACACTGGCTCTAGATCGTTTTGTGTACCAGGTTACTGAAGCACAGTAAAACCTGGTTTAAGCGACCACCCCACGGTGCAAGCAAAAGCTGTCCTTAAAGCCAGGGGTCTTTAGAACCAGGTTCCACAGTGTCTGTGTAGAACTATCGGTGGATGGAAAAACGGTCGTTAAGAGCAGGTGGTAGCTGAACCCAGAGGTCGCTTACATCAGGTTTTCCTGTATAGTACTGGTCATGCAGTTATCCCAATGGGGGAATGTGTCACAATACCCCATATCAGATCCTAGCCTAGGTGCTGTTCTCATCCAGTGCATGTGTATGGAAGTAATGATATGGCAGTCGATGACAACGGCATAAACTCACACCTGCGTTCAGATTGGTAATGCAAATGCACTTTTCATTCTGACAATCGCAAGATTTTCATCCGGCTCACTATAGATCTGAGTGACCACGAAATGCACCCAAGCAAAAATTCATTCAACGGGTTATCAACAAAAGTAACAACGCACAGCCGTGGGTTGGCGAGTTGCCTGGAGTACACCGAACTCTGGTATGAGACTTTGGTAAGAGGAGGGCTGGAACTGAGGCTCAGGTCTGGGGTACGTCCGTTACTTACCTCCTTTCCATTGACTCCCTTCATGGATTCGCATAAATTAACTGGTAGGCACAACACCTTTTCGAACCCTTCCATATCCAACCTATGTGGAACAAAAACCGGACAAAATAATTTTTTCGCATGATGCTCTTGTTCAATGCTTCAATCGATATACATGTACATAAAGATAAGCGCAGTGCGGACACATGTGTACGGTTATACCATGGTAAGTTACTGCGAGGGTAAATCACAGAGTGCTTCCACAACAAACATAGTGTGTTCGTGCAGCTTTTTAAACAAACTCTGCCATGCATATTCCGACCAAACACTTCTCCTTTGTAGATATACCTTTCTAAGATTTTTCACCCTCGGCTACCAGCTACCAGCCATTCTCAGAGAAAACAGTGAAAACTGAGTGCAAACTAGACGTGTTCTGTACATACATTGTAAACATTTAGGAAACCTCACTTCTCAACTCCAAAAGCGGTCTCTTTACTGCGACTAAAATTAAAATTGAGATTCACATTACACCAAATTTTCCGGTTTGGCCCATCATAAGGGTACATTGTAAACGGTGAATTGTGATAGAACAGTGACAGGAGGTACATATTTTGTCAACTAAGGTGTATGTGTGGGTATAGTCATACAATAATGTGAATGGTTGGAGTATCTGGTGCGTGAAGTTAGGACAAAATAGTTAGAGATAGTGTGAGGTGCTATCCCAAGTATAGTGATGTAGAACGTTCAATCTCTACTCGGTTTCCTCGAGCATATGGAGGGGTTAAATATAATATACATATACTTGTGAAGCAATTGTCATATTATGTTTGGGGGACAGCAAAATTGAATACAATCATCAGTGAATCATGTTTTAGTTTAGTGAGTACGGTAGAACAGACCACCGACAATACGGCACATTTTATAATATTGCCAATTCATTTATCTGGTTTGGGGGACAGGCGCAAACGGGAAAGGTCTGACGAGAAAATTGACTGTCACCACCAGGATTCGAAACAGGGACCTTACGATTCAACTTCTTATTATCAATACTTATGGCTATAATACCTCACTCCGCCACGTAACAATTACTCTACTGACTAAAAGGTACAATAATACATATGCTGTGTGACAGTGAAGGTCTATCGCCACACTAAATCAGTGTCTACCGGTACTAGTATTTGAGATAACTGATCCCATTGTACGCTTGTAGCACTTCCACTGATCCCAGTGTACGCCTGTAGCACTTCAAACAATCTGCAATGTAACACCTGGTAGACTTCCACAGTGTGAAATTTATACAAAAGAGAAGGACCAATCTGAGCCCATACAGTGTGAAATACTAGTACTACTTTACGGAATAGGTGCAACTACCGGCATGGCGTAATGAATTTATCATTCGCGGAGAAAACATAATTGATTTTGTGTTTGTCAGTATGAACAGAGTACGAAGGGAAGGAAGTGCTTCTAGATTCTGACCAGCAATGTGTAACTTGCCTTGCGTGGAGATTCGCCTTTACAATCAGCAGTGTTTCGTATCCACGGAGCGGGTTGTTCTTATCGTCCGACTTGCTGCGTAGAGCCACGATCACTGGAACACGGAATGGCCGCTGCGCTAGATCGCGTTTGCTTCACAGAATATCACCGTAAAGAGTCATTCTTTGCGCCTTCAGCTGACCGGTGTTGGCCTAAACTGCACGTACCGCACTACCAGAAACTTTATGATCTTGAATGGGAATGTTCATGTCGAAGCAAAGGAAAGCCTAATCTTCCCTTACGCGTAGAATAATGGAGACGTTCACTTTAGGATGTTGACAGTTTCACGGAAAACAGTGCTTCGTGCTGCATTTCCTGCTTCGTGCTGCATTTCCTGCTTCGTGCTGCATGTGCGCCAGCGCTGGACTGTAGCTCATACTCTCCGCTGTGCCGAGTTTCTATCAAAATGCACCGTCCTGGTTAACCGTATGCAGGTATGAAGTAACGTTCGTTGCATGCAGAACGTGGATGGTGGTGGCTGTTCATGTCAGTACGGCTCAGGGAGAAAGTCCACAGCGGCGACCGGATGATAGTGATTCAGGCATTGCGCGTTCCACTCGAACTGGTTTTTTTCACTATCAAACTCTACTACCTAGTTCGCTGTTTGACAGCACATGTCACTTGACGAGCCAGAACAGAGACTCCAGCCTAGAGCACAACTCATAAAAATAGGGCTGCAACTGCATTTTTTTACTGTCAAACCCGACTACAGTTTGCTGCTTGACAGCACGTGTCACTTGACGAGCCAGAACAGAGACTCCAGCCTAGAGCACAACTCATAAAAATAGGGCTGCAACTGCTTTTTTTTACTGTCAAACCCGACTACCTAGTTTCCTATTGACAGCACGTGTCACTTGACGAGCCAGATCCGAATCTCCAGCCTACAGCACAACTCATAAAAATAGGGCTGCAACTGCTTTTTTTTACTGTCAAACCCGACTACCTAGTTTGCTGCGTGACAGCACGTGTCACTTGACGAGCCAGAACCGAAGCTCCAGCCTACAGCACAACTCATAAAAATAGGGCTGCAACTGCTTTTTTTACTGTCAAACCCGACTACCTAGTTTGCTGCTTGAGAGCACATGTCACTTGACGAGCCAGAACCGAAGCTCCAGCCTACAGCACAACTCATAAAAATAGGGCTGCAACTGCTTTTTTTACTGTCAAACCCGACTACCTAGTTTGCTGCTTGAGAGCACATGTCACTTGACGAGCCAGAACCGAAGCACCAGCGTACAGCACAACATAATGGTACACGGGAGCCAGTACAATCGTCATGTTCATGTACAGTGAAACCTCGTTAAAAAGAACACCGATAAGACAAACTTTCGCTTTAGAAGAACTAATGTTCATAGCTCTATTGGAAAAATCACTGTGTATTCATTGGGTATAAAATATGGATAAGAAGAACTCCCGTTATTACGAACAAATACCATCGGTCCCCTGGTGTTCGTCCTAAAAAGGTTTGACTGTACTTCTTTTTTTTAAGTACATGCACTAGTAAGCACTAGACACCAGTTTCAGAAGGCAGCAGCTGAATACTAAGTATCGAATACACATACCGGATTATCTCTAATTATAAGCACGGTCCTTTAATTTTTTCAATGTACCTCCGCCCCGTGCTATTAATGGAGACGTTCCTTAATTGGAGACTATTCCATTATTATTTCAACCTCATTTCAGAGGCATGTTGCCATGCCAAATTCATGTATGACACACACATTTCAGGGTTTTTTTCGCCGGTACAGATAATGAATTTACACAGTGTGCTTATAATGGAGACTGAGCACTTTATTTTTTGTATGCCGCCCCAAGGTGTTCTATTAATACACGTGCTATTATTGGAGACTGTGCTTATATTAGAGATAATACGGTACGTCGTTAACCCTTTCCCAAAGGTGCTCTTTTAATTCGCACTTAGTGCTTTTCGCGTCCCTCAAAATATGCTGAAAAAGTGCTCTTTTTTCAGTGAAAAAAGGCAAAAAGCGCTCTTTTTGTGAAAAAAAGGCAAAAAGCGCTCTTTTTTCAGTGAAGCATAGCCATGCTACATGTTCAGATTTGAACCCAAGCTGAGAAATCGAAAAAAGATCGGATTTATGGGTCCTCGAAAGGCAAAACAGGAAGTAAAGTTCAATATCCCCACTTTTTACAGCATTCTGTACAGCGGGTACAAGCTTCACCAACTTGTTCCCCCCCCCCAAAACCGTGTCAAGGCCCATCGAGCACTCGGAAACTGTGATCGCATGCATGAGGAAACAGATTTTAGCACTTTTCAGCGAAAAAAGCTCAAAAAGGGCGATATACACCAACAAAAAAAAGCAATAAAGGGCGAAAGAAACGGGCTTTTCCAAAAAGGGCCAAAAAGGGCGAGCACCTTTGGGAAAGGGCTATACGTCGTCCCTGAGCCGTACTGACCTGAACAGCAAATACCATCCACGTTGTGCCTACAACAGCATACCTACATCAGTACATCAGTACAATGTACATAGTCATAGTCATTGTAGACTGCACATGTACCTACACGAGTGGGCTACGTGCACTTGAATCAATGACATGACCGGCTTCCGAGGGAAACGATAATGCAGGCGATTCTCGGTTCGGGTGCGTCTCGGCTAGTAGAGACCGGCGTATTCTGCTCGAAAAGGTGGCAGATTCTGCTCGAAAAGCAGTGAGATTGGCAGAATCATACAAACCTTATGGGGGGCAATTCCTCGAATTCTGCTCGATTTCTTTATCCACATACCAAACATGCGTGAATCTCACCAGAAAAGGTACCGAATTCTGCCAATTTTTCTGCCGGCAGAAAATTCCCATTCACTGCATCCATGGAGCGTTAACCTACTGTCAAAATATAATGCTAATATACTTGCGCAACGCATTCTACAGTCAAACCTAGAATGCCCTTTGTCGAAGGACCGTGAATTGTATACTTTAGAGCAGAGAGTTTTTCGTTTCTTCCCGAGGTGCAGAACGTACTGTATGTCAAAGACAAAGCTCTCTCTCTCTCTCTCTCTCTCTCTCTCTCTCTCTCTCTCTCTCTCTCTCTCTCTCTCTCTCTCTCTCTCTCTCTCTCTCTCTCTCTCTCTCTCTCTTTCTCCCTCTGTCTCTGTCTCTCTCTGTCTCTCTCTCTTTCTCTCTCTCTCTCTCTCTCTCTCTCTCTCTCTCTCTCTCTCTCTCTCTCTCTCTCTCTCTCTCTCTCTCTCTCTCTCTCCGTAGCTCTTTCCGGCTTTGAAATTTTCTTCCATAAAATCGGGAACCATTGCCAGTTTGGCCTTGCGAGGTTAAGGTGGCAGCCTACCCATAAATTTCATATCGCATTCAATTTACCGTAACTTTGGTGTCTCTCAATGGATTGGAGTGAAATTTTCACCACACACTCCTGCCACTATGCTGGGCCTCTGGACAAGATTAAACATTCCGGCATAGTGCCACGATGTGCGAGCCACCCAGGAGCCAAAAAAAATGCATTTACAATTTTTTCACATTTTCTGGCCCATTCTGTCCGTGCGCGGGATCCAAACCTAAAAAAACGTCCAGAAGCAGCCATGGGTGATGGAATAGGGCCCCTCAACCTGGCCCTGGAATCTGTCACAACGGCACGAGTGGGCGTTCTTTCAATCGTCAGACCATGGATACTGGAGTTCAAACAAAATTAATTTAATCGACCAATTTCAGTTGCCGTACACCTTGGCAAACTATGCCTGGTGACCATGATATTAATTTTTGCGGGAAGACGAACATCCCCCGTATATCCAAGATCGGCCACACCGCACTACGGCGACTATAACTATAGGTACCCGGATATGGCAACTCTGAAACTGCACTACAACGCAATTCCTTTCAAGTAACAACACCTTTAGCTGTACTGGACTAAGAGAGATTCCCGGCATTGTGTTTCGCGCCGTGATTTGTTCTGCTTTCTGGCTGGAAGTAGGGAACTGAATGGGTCAATGTGCTCTCTATCTGCCGTTAGTGGCAGCGGTACGCTGGTCAAGTCAGTAGGAATGATGAGCTGAATGTTGGGTGAGAATAGTGTCTCCAGCAACTGTACAGTTTTTGTCCTCACAACGAGAGCCAGGAAATCTTTAGATATATCGGCCACAAATACTTCACTCTGATCGCAAGATTGATACACATTGTAGTGCAATCGCACCTTGTATTCAATTTAAAAAGAATATTGAGATGTAGCTACAGTCAACTTCGCTAATAACTACTGCGGATATAACGACAAATCGCGAATAAGGACAGAATTTCCATGCCCAGAGCAAAGTCCCATCCCACTGATATACATAATAATTAGACTTCGGGTATAACGACACTTCGCGAATAAGGACACCTTTTTGATGCCCCGCCGAGTGTCGTTATAAGCGAAGTTGACTGTATTTGCACACTCCATCACAACAGTCAACGGTGGCCTGGTCGTTTAGTTAGTGACTTTTATTTGAAAATAAAAGTCACTGATCACGATCATAACAAATAATTATGTCGATGCTAAAGATGACGTTGATATTACTAAAACTAACCAGCTCAATTGCTATCTATTCATTGAACTAGAATAACAAGGAGCAGATGAGTGCTGTTCATTTTCGCCCATTCGAGTCACAAACAACTCCTATTCAGATATGCAGCAGTGCATCACTTGGGGCGGGGATTAACGGGATAATGGAATCACTATGATCTCTCAGATGACCCCCACCCCATCAAACACAACACAAATGCCAAGCAAACAGTTATCTACAAGTAGCATCAGAGAGAGAGAAAGAGAGAGAGAGAGAGAGAGAGAGAGAGAGAGAGAGAGAGAGAGAGAGAGAGAGAGAGAGAAAGAGAGAGGAGAGAGAGAAGGAGAGACTAAGGTCGGAATGTTGGGGTTTTACTAGAAATGTGTACAAACTGTTGTGGGCACTGCATTACGTCAATCACACAAACTCCTACTGGTAACTAGCAATGTTTTTTTTTCGGACATGAAATGCTCTAATGTTTAGTGCAATGGTTGCCGCCTATCCAGGCAACGATGAGGTATGTCACACTAGCAGTACGCTGTTCCCAGGTTACTACTTCTGCAGATGTTTGTGTATGGAATCAACGGCTTCCTGAGATGGTACGCTCCACCAACTAACGACCAAGAGCCGAGCATTTTCGATACCACGCATGGTAGCCGTGAGCTTATCGGAGATCGGTACATCTGGCCTCTGACCGGGCTGCAAGTACGCCTTGTCGAAAGCCAGGCAAAGCACGACCTTGCGAAACCCTGGAGCAGGGTGGAGAGAACGGGTACACGAAAGCATAATAAGAAGTAGAATGGCGAGGCCGAGGACAGCAGCTTCTATGCTAGCGCCGCCAAGAGTAAATAACTCCTTTAAGGTTCGAGACAGGGCTGGTATACAAAGGGTTCATGCTCTCCCCCCTACCCCCCCCCCCCCCCCCACCCACACACACACATGTTAATATTACACAGACTTATTTCACCAGGAACTCACTGCCCACCGTTACACCCTGTTGGAAGACCCGAGGGTGTTTTGGGATTGTCCAAGTGAAATACTACAAAGCAGTGCAATGCAATACAAGAACAGCAATAAATAGTACAAGTGTGTAGTCATCACCACACAACATCGAAGTCTCAATTTATTTACTGCTGTCCTCAAATTGTTGTCTCCACACCGCTTCCTTACAATTTAGTACAAAAATATTCTCCGATTAGAAAGGCATACCATTATAGAGACCATCCAATTCCTCACTGGTGCACGGCCGCTGGTACAGTTCATCAGCACTTTGCAACACAAAGAGGACATGTTCCTTGTCCTCGCCATCGCACATCGGTACACATCCCTGCATGAACCTACGGTCGAGTGGCTTGTAGCGGGAGTACTCGTGGTAGAGAAGTGGAGGGTCATTCGGATAACTCGGAACACATTTTGTGCAGACGTGCTCTACCTGGAAAGGAATATAAATAATAACCAGGGAAGAGAAGCAATTTGTGGCTTAACACTCTGTTATCGCAACATTGTGCCGACCAAGAGAGAAAACCACAGGCATTTACACATCAGACAAGTCTTCCGAGCAATCTGTCACAGCATGCCTTGCAAGGTCAAGGTCAGTCGGTAGATTAACTCCTTTAAATCAGTTTTACTTCCTGTAATTGTTTATGCTTGGAAGATATCTTCCTGGCATTCGGAATATGAAAACCCCTGGTGGTGGGGGGGGGGGGGGGAGGGAGGGGAAGGGGACAACGCCAGTACCACCATGCATTCCAAATGTTTAGATTATCAGGCTTATTCAATTGGTTCAAATTAGGCTTGGAACGAAAAGGACCAAGGAGCCACAAGTTAGGCTATATTGACCACTAACACCACTGCAGTTACTCTACAATCAGCTCATGCGATACCATTGCACGACACTGACAGACGGTCCATTTTTCTCTTCTAGAAATTTATCCCTGGCTCTTCATCCAAGTCCATTCTTGGCTTGGAACATTGGACATTTTCCAATGGGACTTTTTCAGACAACACGTTTCCTGTACAGGTTCTGAGTGACTGAAATTGAACAACGCTAGCAGATAAAATCGACTGTCACAACCATGAGTCAAATAAGCGACCTTCGCTATAGGCCAGCAATGATCCAAATCACTCAACTAGGATTGAGCTATGGTCTAGCTAAAGTCGGTTTTTCGGAACTTCGTGATGGCATTTCATTTTCCGTTCAGACTTTTCCAATTTCGAAAACTGTCGAATTTATGAATATTTCGTAAAATAGTTAGAGCATCGCTGGCCTCAAGCGAATGTCCCTGGTTCGAGTCCTGGTGGTGACTGTCAGACTTTACCCTGTTCCATTCCCTCAACCTACGAAAATTTCGTAAAATGTTTATATTTACGTGGTATACTGTAAAAGCCATATATATATAACGAAGTGCTAACTCTAACGAGTTAACGAGGAGAAATCTGTCGTTAAAATAGAAATTGTTATACAGAAACCGATACATATACTGTCCTATTGAGAGTTGAGAATGAGTGAGAATCGTTACTTTTGGTACACATAAACTAGTCAATTTTGGGAAATCGTTATATAATATGCACCTCGTTAGAATAATGGCTTTTACAGTAGATGCATCCTACTGGAATGTCATCTGAACTGGGATGCTGTTTCATACTTTAGAAACACTGTACCGTATCTGTAGAAAATCTCCTCTATGAAACTAGCCGTACCTGAATCTTCAAGAGGTCGCTGCAGCTCTTGGTCGGATGTATGACATGCAACGTGATATTGCTTTCAGCTTTCTTGTCACTCTCACAGGTGGGCTTAGTTGACGGCGAAGCCTCAATGGCAGCAGATGCTGGTAGGATACTCAAGTCCAAAGGCAGCGATGTACCCGCCTCGTCAGGTACGCGTGTGTTGCCTTCATGTGAGTCGGAGGTTTGTTTCTCTTCTGTTGCGGTGTGGATGCCTTGCTGCGATTTACGGCACCTAGTTGAAGGCTGACGAGGCTTTGTCCGGGGGCAGCCGAAAAGCATTTTTAGTATACGAAATTCCACTACAACGGTTTGGGGAGTATCAAATTCAATACCTCCATTCTTGAGTGTACGGCGTTTTAGCAGGCACCCTGTTTGCTCCTCATGTCCCAGGCCAAGAACAAACCTACTAAACTTGTACGCTTGATATGCCAAGGGTTCCTTCCACCAGCTCACGAGCAGACCTTGGTCGCCGTCAAGGCAGCCGTCATCAAGGCGCACTGAAAGAGCATCACGGACCCAAGTGGAGTGCAACTGCCACGTGCTTGCACCGGATCTGCTGGCTTCGTCCTTGCAAACAGCTAACATGAATCGCCCTGCGCATAACACAGAGACCCGGGAATGGCACCAATAAAGGATAGATAAGACCTTCCAAAGTTTTTTGAAAGTATAATGCAAAATGTAGAAGAATTAGTAGTGGTAATTTTTATTGAATTGGGGTGGTGTGACGTGGGAGGGGGAGGGGGATGAGGAGTTAGAGTTATACAATCACATTATTCCAGCAATGGGCCACCTGTAATATTCCGATGTAAAAATTAAGATACTAAGAAAGTGGTGGACATCACGGAACTGCATCATAAAGAAAAGGGGGTTTGTCAACTGACAACTGCTCTATGGTCAGCAAAAATTATTGTTGTATATACCTTCATACACACTTCCTGCGCTTTATAATGATCTTTTGCATACCCACTCTTTCAGGACACTTCCCCTTGCCTGTTGTACATGCAAATTCATAAACTCAATTTCATACGGCTATTGTGTGCTTCGCTTTGTTTTGTACATGGATATACATACGCTCTCACTTGGTTTCGCTATAAAAAGGCCAGGTTCGCCCCTTGTAAATTGTTCTGACGATGGGCGACTGACCCGAAACGTCATAATATTTCGACATCGCAATGAGAGAGCTTGGAAGCTCAGGGCCCTACGCTATGCTTTTTTGCCTAGCTCATCGTGCATGTTGTTAGAACTGATGGAAATGGGTTTTTTTCATTGATTGGCTACATCAAACTTTCTCTTTGTATTGGAGTGTAATAAGACACCGTCTACCAGCTTGATGAACTAGGTAACAAAACAAAGGGATGTTATATTATTTTATTTTCTCTCATTTTTTCGAGAGGTTTTTTCGAGACAATAATAATAATTACTATTATTATTTACGAGATAATAATAATAAATTCGGAACGACGCTTGTCACAATAATAATAATTATTATTATTATTCCCGTAGCTATGCAGAAAACATTACTTCAGTAACGTCTGGCGCTAGCCAGGGTCCACACAGCTTTAATTTGGTGTTTGTGTGTTTGCGTTTTTGTGTCACGCCTGGAGCTACCGTATCTGTCCCGTATCTGTCCCGTATCTGTGATTTGGTGTTTGTTTGTTTGTGTGTGTGTTTGTGTCACGCCTGGAGCTACCGTATCTGTCCCGTATCTGTGATTTGGTGTTTGTTTGTTTGTGTGTTTGTGTCACACCTGGAGCTACCGCATCTGTCCCGTATCTGTGACTAGAAAGGTTCTACAGGATTGTACATAACAGCTGGCCACAAACAGCTGGCCACAATATTCGTCGTATGCAGCGTTCCTCCTTTATTCCCAATCGAACATGGTTGAACAAGTGGTCACGTGCTCCTTGGTGCCCAAATCACCTGGTCACCACGCCAGCAGGCGTCAACTTTCACACCAAGGTTCAACTCGAGTTCAACTCGAGTGACAGGACTGCACCCAAAAAAGGTCAAACAGGCTAGTAAGTTGTACCCTGCAGGCACGGTGACCAGCTGACTGGTGTACGCAGGAGCACGTGACCACTTGTTCAACCATGTTCGATTGGGAATAAAGGTGGAACGCTGCATCGCAGCCTTTTCGGACCAAAACCAGTCGACTCAGCGTCCAAAAGACTACAACATATGGGCCAATCGCGGTCATCCGTGCTTTTATAAGAACGAAACGGCGCTTTTAGTGACATTTTGCATACAAATCCCCATCTAGTAGGGCGCAGTCACACAGTTTCGGTGGAAGTGCGCGAGTTCGATTGGGATTCAAGTAGGAAGGGAGCGTCTCAGCTTTCTCGGACCAAGACCATTCGACTCAGCACCCCGAAGACTACAACTGGTGAAATTTTAATTTTTGCCTTAACTTCCCCTTTAAGTGGTCGTTGGTTGCTCCGACAATTTCATGTCTGGCGCTAGCTCTGTGGCAGACGGACCTTCGACTGGCGCTATCCCGTACTTGTCCCTATTAGCGTAAATACACAAGGCGACAGAGCTAGCGCCTGACATTTGATACGGTGTTTTACGGTAGAAGGATGTCGTATAGCATGTCGTACAACAGTATGATGAAATTGTCGGAGCAACCAACGACCACTTCATATATCAGTAGCCAGTGCTATCCTGACCATTATGTTAGCATTACGAAAGCATAGACAGGATGCGTGTTACAGGAGACCCAAATTGCTGAAGACCAGTAGTCATTGCTGATAACGCGCAGAAAAACTAAATCTGCAGCCTCTTTTGCCGTCGGACAGGATGGGTATTACAGGAGACTGTAAAGTTACGTAATGTGCTCCACAGGGAACCATGCATTCGGCCGTCAGCAACAGTTAAAAGCACAAGAACACTATCAAGGTAAGGACATTTTTGTATTGTTGTATTGCATCGCGATATCGCCGATTGGTTTGCAGGCCTGCCTGCGAATCATGAGGTCCCGAGTTCAAGACCCGCTCTGGTAGCAGGGAGTGTGTAAAAAGACTTTTTACGCGTGTTGAGCTACGCCGACACCCACAGTCAACTGGGTACTCAGAGCTCGGAGTGAGAATAACAAGGATGCAGTTTACGGAGTTATGGGCCGTTACACGCCCGATTGGTTGAGAGACTAACCTCCTCTCCCCTGACTCACTTGTGAGGTCTGCATTCGCCACTAAGGTTAACAGGCATAGTGGTGGCCTGCGGATGCGAAGGCTAGTTTGTGTGTTTCTGAACGAACATTCAAGCGATGCCGACGCGGATCCCGCGAATATTTTTATTTTTATTATCGCGATATCGTATTGTATGGAATATAATTTTACTTCATTGGCTCAACACGTCAATGTAAAAAGGCCAGAAAATCCGATTATAAGGAGATAAAAAGGAAAAGAAGGAGCAAACCAAAAGCGGATGAAGTGAGAGAAAAGTAACAATCCGCAATAAATTCTGCAAATATTTTTGCCTATCTCATATTCAAACTGATTGAAACGTTTTTGCAATACAATGATGTAGCCAATCAACAGAAAAAACATTTCCATCAGTTCTAGTAACATGTACGATGAGCTAGGCAAAAAAGCATAGCGTAGGGCCCTGAGCTTCCAAGCTCTCTCGTTTACTAAATTTTGAATGGCGCATTCCCACATAACCTGGGATTCGAAACCGCACTATCGCCCTGCATGCATTTCCCCGATACACTTCGCATACATACTCATTCTTCCAAGTTGCTTCACGTTATGATCTTCCATTTGAAAGCCCTATTTGAATATTGTGGCCAACTATCTTTGATGGTACGGTACGGGACAGGTACGGGATAGCGCCAGACATGCCGCCGGCACAAACACACACGAAATAGACCATTTGACAAAATAAAGTAGGGGCGCGTAAGGGGGCAAGGCATGGTCTATAGGGGGGCCCCATCGTGCATGAGATCGCGCATGGACCGTGCACACTGCACAGTGCAGCGTGCAAGTACAGTGTGTACGTGGTGTACGAGTACTGCACGGAGATTTCGTGTGCTTGTTGGTGCCGGTGGCCGTGGGTACGGTGTTTCTTGTTTTTGTTTGAAATGATTTGGTTGTTCTGTAGTTCAGTCGGTAGTTTTCCTTCGCCTCACGATGCCATCGCACAACCACTGGTCTGTGTTTGGCTGCTCAAATCGCCGATCAGATCAACGAGATCTGTCTTTTCATAAGTATCCCACAGATCCCGACCTAAGGGCGAGATGGGTGCAGGTATGTAAGCGCGAAGAGGGAGCGCATTTCACGATCTCATCCAGCACTGTTGTTTGCAGTGAACATTTCAGGGAAAAAGACTTCCATCCAGATCTACCCGGGCTGCCTGCATTAGCTTCTGGGAAGCCGCATCGTCGTTTGAAGCAGGAAAGCATCCCCAGTGTTTTCTCCTTTCGGCGACCACCAGCCGAGAGACCCTCTCCTGCGGATCGTCGAAGTGCTGCACTTGTTCGTCATTCTTTACTAGAGAGGCTCGATGTCGAGCCAAAAGCCAAGAAGCCGCGGCGAGGAGAAAGTGAGACCCTCTCCTGCGGATCGTCGAAGTGCTGCACTTGTTCGTCATTCTTTACTAGAGAGGCTCGATGTCGAGCCAAAAGCCAAGAAGCCGCGGCGAGGAGAAAGTGAGAGTGAGTTTGAGTATCGTGTCGGAGGCTGCCGAAACTGAAATCCACAATCTAAGCACCAGTAACAGAGCAAACACATGAGAGCAGAGCCCACCATCTCCACCAGCAACACAGCCCTCACACACACAGCAAAATCCAGCACAGCACTATCATTTTTGGCGTCATCTGTGAACACAAGTCGCAAGCTGTACTTGGTAGACTTCTTCTGGGTTGCCCAGCACTTGGCTTCGATAAAATTCTCGGCCTCCACACAGCACACACTAACATCGTGAATGTATCCACCAAAATACAGCTCGTGTCCCCGATCTAGAGGCTTCCTGATGATGAGTACATGGCTCTCACTGGTGCGAACTTGCTTTCCAGTAAGCAGCAAATGCGACAAGATCGTGGATGCTGTTACACGAGGAAGTTTCGGTCTGTCTTGGGTCCAGCCAGAGTCAGGAAATACTGGTGCTGGCGTACGCGTGGCGACGGGAGCTGCATCACGGGTCGACCGCTTGCTTCTTGGTGCTTCGGGATTAAATCTGTAGAATAACGCCCTGGATGTAGAACAAATGTCACGCGCAGTTCGTGAGTGAGTGTAGGTAAAAAAAATTAGTCGACGAAGCCCCGTATGAAAGTACCTCGTAAGTAGTTCCGCTTTCCATCCTGTCAACAAACCACCCTGCTTTCGTAGATAATCTCTCAGCTGCTTTATAGTCCAAGAAGGCTGAGGAACCTGCTCTACCAGCTCTCCGACACTACTCGTACCAACTCTGCCGTCCTCGCCCTCCGTGACCGTGTGACTCGACTGTGCACCAGCTCTGTCTACTCGAAAAAACCGAAACCAGCAAGAAAGTGTGTACTTTGTCTGCTTGACCCAGCGCTGCTGCATGCGCGCTGCTGCAGCGCGCTAGCGCTGGTTCACCTGACGCCCCCCTACGCGAACGCTTGCCCCCTTTCGGCCCCCCTACTATTATTTGCGCAAATCGTCTATTAAAGCTGTGTGGACCTTGGCTAGCGCCAGACGTTACTGAAGTAACGTCTTTTGCATAGCTACGGGAACGAGAGAGCTTGGAAGCTCAGGGCCCTTCACTATGCTTTTTTTGCCTAGCTCATCATGCATGTTATTAGAACTGCTAGAACTTTCTCTTTGGCCCCAACTTCGTTGCGATCTTATAGTGTTTTACGTCAACCATGACGGCTACAATGCCCAACCATACCACAACGAACTGATCGCCTACATCATTGTATTGCAAAAAATTCCATCTGTTCGAATAACATGCATGATGAGCTAGGCAAAAAAGCATAGCATAGGGCCCTGAGCGAAAGAAATAAACTTCCTCTTTGCATTCGAGGGTAATACGACACCGTCTACCACCTTGATGACCTAGGCAAAAAAGCATAGGGATGTTATACATTTTTCATATCTCCTTTTTTTTTTTAAGACATAACCTGGGTTTCGAATCCGCACTAACGCCCTGCATGCATTCTCCGATACACTTCGCATATATACTCATTTTTCCAAGTTGCTTCAGGTTATGAATTTGCATTAAAGGCGCTATTTGAATATTATTGTGGCCAGCTATCTTTGATGGTACGGAATGGGACAGGTACGGGATAGCGCCAGGCATGCCTGTGCTGTCCTTGATGGTACGGTACGGGACAGGTACGGGATAGCGCCAGGCATGCCGATGCTGTCCTTGATGGTACGGTACGGGACAGGTACGGGATAGCGCCAGGCATGCCGATGAAACAAACAAACAAACACGGAATTAAAGCGGTGTTGACCCTGGCTAGCGCCAGCCGTTACTGAAGTAACGTCTTTTGCACAGCTGCGGGAATAAAATGGTTTGTCATCCAGCGCATGCGGCGATTGTGAATAGCAACTGAATAGAACGGTTGTCAGTTTACAAACCTCCTTTTCTTCAAAAATCCAGATATTGGTCAAATGCCCCTCGTGTGCTCCGGATGGCAGTCGTGAGTTAGTCAAGTGCTAAGTTCGGCAGGAAGCGTGCGTTCTTCGTTGAAACAACGAACTTCGTTTTTCTCACGTTCAAATTTTTTATAAAATGTGACGCGTAATGACTACTGTCTTGCAACTCGGTCACCTTCTCTTACCGTTCGTGCTAACCGAGCGGAGTGCGCTATACACCGGCTTGAGCGTGTTCGACTGCTGGCTGGAATCTTGTGTCACGGCCAGACGATTGGAATCGTCTACCATCAGCATGCCCAGGATGGCCGTGTCGAACACCGCCGCCGAAGTCTTGGCATAGTGCATCACGGCATCGGCAGTCTCATATATACTCTGCACGGAGTAAGTACCCTGGAATTGCTCCCACTCTATGGCCATGTGTCCATCTTTTTTAAGTGCTTGGCAGAACAACTCCTTGGCCTGCAGAAATGATAGAAGAAGGGGAGAAGTAAAAAAAGACATTATTACACTTCCAGATAACATGAAGGACAAAGGATACATGTGTGTGTGTGTATGTGCGTGTGTGTGTGTGTTTGTGTGTGTGTGTGTGTGTGTGTCTGTGTGTGTGTCTGTATGTGTGTGCGTGGGGGGGGGGGGGTATCAGCACATGTCTGTCATGGCATGGTTTGAATGGTTTGCAACACCGACATGCGCACACAGACGTGTGGGTCGCGTGTCACCGGCCGCTCGCAATACCAACTGCACGATATGTGGCAACCGACCGCCTCTAGCCTCCTCCGGGATTATGCTCCTGCTTCTCCCACCCAAGCCTAATTGTCGCCAATCCTGAAAAGCCAATCTCCACTGCTACCCTATTGCACCCTTCATTTGACACTCTCCTTTCACTCCTGTTATCTGTTTGATTATTTGCTATTTTCTGCTGTGTTCCTAAATTAGATCCTCCCCTTCGTTCTAAATCTTCCATTTTCTCCCGTGCTTTTTTCCCCTCATGCTTATGCTTCCCTCCCGAATTTGGTGCGCCTGCCATGTGAAGATGCCGAGACCTCTGGTCGGTTGAGCATGGCAAGCCCCACCAGCACCATCTCACCCCATGCTAGCCCCATGTGCCTGCCGGTGAGTTGTGTATTTTGTAAAAATAAAAAAATGTGCAGAGTACGGAGCCTGTAGGATGACGTCTTGTGTACCCACATACGTATTGCATATACCCAGGCTCAGAATCCTTGAGAAGGTGCTGACGGCTATACATCACCTTTCATCATCATCATTATCATCATCATCATCATCTGCGTTGCCGAAAAAATAATAATAGTAAAATTTTAAAAATAATAATAATAAACGGCATTATGCAGCTGTGTAAGCAGTAGATGCACAGTGCGACTGCCAGACATCACCTTTAGTAGTGTAAAAATTCAATTGAACTGGAAATATATATGGTTGATTATACAAGTAGGGTGATTTTGTTGGAAGCCAGGGAGATTCGATTCACGAATTTACCATAAGCAGCTTTTCTGCAGCGAACACCAGACTGTAAAGAGAACTTGTAACCCAGCCAATGTGGTAACGATCGAATCAGGAGTACATGAACCTGTGTCTGGCATGCGCATGATGCGATGGGTCATATACGGCACTCCTTGGCCTGGGGGTCTGCAACAGCATGGACCGGTATGGTGTGCCGGAGAGCAAAACGTCTGGGGAAACTAAAATCACTTGTTGTTTTACCTTTTCACCGGCAGCTCCTCGCATGTCGGAGCAGAAGTTGACCCAGAGTATCCGCACCCTCCTTGTCTCGCCAGGAGTGCTGGTTGAACCGGCCTACATCGTAGACCAAGGTAAAGGAGGCAGTCAGTTACAACACAGTGGCGTTGGAGGGCATTCTAGTGTGGTGCAGTCTGCCAGATGAAATACAATTCACCCATGGTGGAGAGGAGAGGGGGGGGGGGGAGGGTGGCCGAGCCGAAATTTTGGAATTTGTTTGCCCAGATCAGTGTACTCCGGTGTACTCTACGCATTCACGGAGAAACTGGGGCAAAACGACCCTGCAACATTATGCGTGCCTATACAAAGCACAACGCAGGTAGTTTGCTGTTGGTGTGCGGCTCATGATTGGGGCACAGAGCTTCAGCAGTATTCTCACAAAATACGACCCGAGGGCCTAAAGCCCAAGGGAATTATAAAGGGTTGCCCTTCGGCAGCTGAAGAAAGGTTCTACCACCCCTCAGTAATGACCATGCCACACTTCAATAGCGTGAGCTGATCATGGCAACGTTTCACAGCACGAAGCATGAAGCGGAGCAAGCTGGACAGCTATTGCTAACCTCTCTCAACAATTACAGCATGGGGGGGGGGTGCTACTACAAGGAGGGGGGGGGGGGGGGTGCGTGCTTGTGAAAGGTACTCCTGACAAACAGCAACATGACCGGCCAAAGCAGTTCTTGTTCCGACCATACCATAGCCTTTCATACAGTTTGTCTATGATACATCGGGTATACCATGACCTCCTCAGCAGTAAACACACACTGGACAATGGTGGCCAAAACGTTGCTCCGGCCATAGCCTGACCAACCGGACCGGTTCCGTTGAGCCTTAGTCTCCTGGGTATCTATCACCACATTATGGTCTTTGTGCACGTCGTACAGATGTAGGAAGTTCTGTACTAGGGTCGTAGGTGTGTACATACCCGGTTGGGTGTTCATTGTGTGCTATACATGCGCGTTTGACCAATTTAGCCTCATAATTCATGGCAAACAATCGCTTTTCCAGCTTCTTCACTTTGGGATTGAACTAATGACAAGCTAGATCTCTGCCGGAAAATGGTTTCGTATGAAATGCCTTCAGGGCCCGTTTCATAGTGGAAATAGCAGTAAACACAATAGGGTCCTGCACATTCAACACCCAACCGGGTCTACGGGATTCTACAAGATTCTACGGGATTTCGTGCATCTGTACAACGTGCACAAGGCCTATTGGCTGGGCACTAAATGCTGGAGCTGGCTGTTTTATTCTGATAAGTTTGACAATGATTAGCATGTTCCAGGATGTGCGGTTTAGCATAGACCAATACTATAGCGCTATTATTTTTACTCTCGCGCCCTATACGATGTCCGCTGATGTGAACACCATCGTTAATCATAATATTATGGTGTACGTAAAAAAAGAACGGTCGTATGACAGCAATGAGTCAGATGATTGCACAGTGATCAGCAAAAGGCGGACCTGCTCTCAGCCACTATTCACGTATAAAGCTGCATGAACTCTCACCACCTCTATTGAATTCCACGAAATTTATACTTTCCAAATTACCTCAAATAATTTCCAAACTCACGCTACTAAACATGTGATCGACTGACCTGGCACTCCCCGCTACTGGCGCTAGCGCTTTGTTCATCTTCATCCCCGTCTTGTAACAACCGTTGATTTGGGGGCGATCCGGAACCGTTCATTTCCAATGGCTTCAGTACTGAAATTTATGAAAGGTTGGTTTCTTCAGAGGTTGATCGGTGGATGGGTGGATGTCACTCTTTGATCACGCCTTTACTCTTCTGACTTGCTGATTTCTCCACACAAGCAATCAAATGACTATGCTAACGTTGTTCGTAAATTTACTTTTATCAACAATGACTAGTCGGCACACACTCAAAACATGCAGAAGATTTAGCCTGTTATGCGTCAATACCTGGCAACCCCAAGACAGCAATGCTGGTCAAGGTTCTCCTACAATGTTATCTGCAGACTGAGCTGAATGAAGAATTTAGTCCTCTTGTGGGATGACGAAAATCTCCAGGACTGAAAACGCACGATGCTCAGAGTACAAAAGCTAGGAGACTCCTCTGCCAGATCATTTTCTTTCTGCATGTTCAAGGATTTGCACAGCAAACATGTGTGGCTCGACTCAACCACACAGTCATCGCACAGATTCAAGAACGCTGTTCAAGCTAGTTGCGGCGTGTATGTCGCAAGCTGGTTCGAGTAGTGCAGACTGCATTCTAATGACTATGTCGACTGCTGAGTGCATCGAAACTTTTCATCACAATCGAGACCCGGAAATCTGTGCTAGTTTGGTTTGGCGGTACGCGGTGTTTCCCCTTTTGCTGGCTGAGCTGTCGACATGTCAAACTCAAACTCAAAGTAACATGTTCATGTTCGCAGTAATACACAATCATTGCAGTACTGTACTACATACATGTACACGTACACGTATTATTAGCAGTCATGTGCCGGTCACAGGTAAAATTTTATGGTCCGTGAAGATGTACAGTGGACATGCTGTATACATACTGATAGAGGTCATACAGGTCTACATTCCACCAGACTCAAGTGTGAGGTCGATTCTACCAGTAGTTCATAAACTGAAGAGAGTGTATACTGTATACAAGCAATAAAACAAAATTAATGTCAAACTAGTAGTTATTGATGACTCCAGGACCGCTGTTTGCAAAGAGAGCTGGAAAGTATGCACACATCTTGGTCACCTGTTTCCATCACATCATGCGAATCACAACACGTTTGAAACTATCCGCAGAACCACTGAATGCCATGGGGTCAACCCAGATCTTATCCGAGCAACGGTGATGCATGATTGCCACTGCCCGATAGGGCACCGTCTCTGGGGCAGAGATTTGTTTTTGCATCTTTACGACCTCAGGATGTTTTACATCGGTGAGAAGCGGGCGATGCTAGCGCATACCATAATCCAATGGCGTAAGAACAAAGAAAAGTGGGGAATTAGGGCTATATGAACGAACGAGTAATTCTACGCCGAGCATAACAAACGCATGGAGAAATGTGAAGAAAGGTGTCTGTAACCGCGGATAGTGAAGAAGGATCTTTTGGAAACGAGCCAAGCCTTTCCACATGCAAACGGCATTCGGCAAAGCCAACGGACATTAATATGCAGGTGCCATAGGAACACGTATTGGCTTGAGGGGAACATGCATACGGAAAAAGTCTGAACCAGAAGTAAAAATACATAGCAGAACTGTAAGGAGGAAAACTTCCTTCTGCCAGGAGAACTGCAATAAAGATACGTGTATGGTCTGCTGCCAGGAGAACTGCAATAAAGGCACGTGTATGGTCCTGCAATCCTGACGAATCTTGTACCATGCCACATTACACAGATACCCATGTAAAGCCCATTGGACATTGTGGAGAGGTCAAAAATTTGGAGTTGATTGCCTTGTCCAAACTATAGTCCACAGCGCAACTCGCATTGAAGAGTCAAACAAAAATAATGTAATGAGGAAGAGTGAAGTGCACCATACTGAAAGTTGACATGCTGCACTGAGATGCGTGGAATATTATAATGTTTTGCACCGCAATTATTCACCACGGCCGGAAGTGTGCAATAGATAATGGTCCGTGGCGCTAAGTCTAGTACAGAAACAGATTACGTACTTCTAGTCTAGTTGTCAGTATCGGCAGTGCAGAGATCAGCTACTGAATGCGTAGCGTCTGCAACTCGCGCTGAACCTGTATGCGCTGCGCATCACTCCTGAACATCTGTGCGCACACATCTGGCTCACTCATGAGTGTGGCTAGCTGGCTGGGTGTGATGTAGCGAGACTCCTCGGTGAGGCCACTGGCTTGCCACAGCGCAAGTATTCTGTTCTCCAATTCGACCAGGCGAATCGATGGCCAAGCATTCTTCGTTGCAGTATGGCGTAGCAGGGCCTTTACGAGGTGCTTGGCTGCAGCAATCGACAAAATCATACAGTAATAAGTGTGCGTGAATAAGTCTGAAGAAAGTCACGGTTTATCAGTCTCTGCTATAATGTAGCTCAGTGGTTAGAGCATCGCTGGCCTCAAGTGAAGGTCCCTAATTCTATTCCTTTCGGCAAGAGTCCATAATATGCAACTGTGATTATGGGTGCATGCGTGGCGCGCTGCCTTCATTACGTAACTTGCCTTCATCACGCTCTGAAAGCATGCATTCAAACTCTCAATTTCTTGCACGAGCCCATCCGTTTTTGCTCGATTCGTTCCAGTACCTACACAATCTCTGAATTCTGGCGCGTGAGCGCGTGAACTCTAGTTCCGTACGAAAGTTCATTTCAAACTGGAGGGAAAGTGCAGTGTTTGATTTTCCGCAGTGCGCGGACTGCAGCTGAATGATGTAATGAAGGCAGCGCGCCGCGCATCTAGCCCATAGAAAAGAGATCACAGTTGCATACTCTTGGGTTATGGACTCTTGCTTGCGGTGATAGTCAATATTTTCTTCAGGCAGTTTTCTCCTTTCTATTCCCTCGATCTCATGTCCCCTCGTGTCTTCGACTTCATATTCCCTCGGCCAGCGAATAAATAATAAAACAGTTCTGGTACATAGCTAGCAATCGCATGTTATCACGTACATTGAAAATCAACATATCTTTGTGAACCGGCCTTTTTTTCAGGATCACTTTTCAGTTTTCAATGAGGACGAAACAAAGTCGGCCGAACGAAGCCTAGAGTAAAAGAATAATCCACTTCACCATCACGATACTGACATAGGTACGAAACGAAACAATTAAAAAAATCCACAAGAAAACCGTACGCCCAACGCCGCGCTGACTGCGGTTTGAGAATAATTTTCTTTTACATTCAAAATGTACAAGGAACTCACAAAAACCAGCTACCGACGTACTTTTGTCGCTCTCTACTCCTTTTTCAAGGAACGGAAGTTATCGCTCCACTTTCAAACCGGAACAAGACACACTAGTGGTCCTTTTCAGCTGCTCCACGGGCGCAGGTTATGCACACCAAGGGCCGCAGCGCAGCATCCGCTCCAGCCAAAAGACCTAAAATGCAATTAGTCGGGCTACATGCCTGAGTAGCAGGCAGGCACAGTGGTTTGGTCTAAGACCATGATTGAGAAACGAGAGGTACCAGGTTCAAGTCCTGCTTGGAAGCGGAAGGATTTTTCCAACCGTGCTGCGACCGGTAACCTCCCGCGACAGCGCGTCCATGTTAGCGCGGTGCACTTCAGCCCGACCGCCTTAGCGCGAGGCATTTCAGCTCGGTGCCATTTCAGCGCCGTGTCTTGACAGCGCCAATGATTTCAGCGCGAAATTTTAAATCGCAGGACATGTCAGCGTCAATTTCTTCAGCGCAAATTTTTCCGAGGGAGGCACTTCAGCGCCGTACACCAGTCGCCCTATAAAAGACACAGTATTTTCGGGGAAAGGCCATAATTTTCCTTAATTTTCCTATGCAAGCTAACTCTCAAAAATGGAATTAAACCGATTTGAGACAGCCAAGGGCAAGCCGGCATTCTGCCAAGGTGGTTATACTTATCGCCTTGATAAGCGTGCTGCTGACGGCGACCGATATTATTGGCGGTGCATTGACCATGCGTGTACTGTGACAAAGGAGACGATGGGCTTGGATTGTGTACCCCAACCAAGAGGTGCCGCACAGCACACCCACGCTCCCAAATGCCAATGACTGTGTTACGAGGAAAGCGGTTTCGTAAATGAAAACTTTTGAGAAGTCAACATCGCGGCCAGTGACAGAGATTTATGATCAAGTCGCTGTAGCGACACACGAGGAGCACCCTGCCGCCACACCCGAATTTCCGATCATATCGTCCGTGAAAAGTTCGCTGTACCGTGCGCGGAGGGAAGCCTATCCGCCTCTACCCCAGGAAGTTGCAGATTTGGAGGAGCTTCCTCCTCTTTTCACCGTGATTGGACAGAACAGGTTCATGGTGAAGAACACGCTGTTGGCGAGGAGGGTTCGTTAATTTTCGCAACTGATGCCTGCCTCAGACTCCTCCGAACACCGAGACTGGTTCATGGACGGCACTATAGTACGCGCGAAAGTGCTTCGCACTGACATATATGCGCTGAAGTGCCTGGCGGTGACGCTCCCTCGCGCTGACAGTACATCACGCTGAAGTGCCTTGCGCTGACATTACCTCGCGCTGAAAGTGGATGCGCTGTCGTGGGATGGAATCCTGCGACCCACAGTTAATTGGAAACTCGTGGCCTGGCATGAGTAAAACATGGATGTGGCAAATGGGATTTAGGCCTTTGGCCTATTGTTGGTGGATCTGATCTATCCTCCCCCACCGTTTAGGAGCCGCATCTGACGCCTGATCATGGGGTGATGGGGTTCCATGGAAGCGGAAAGGTGGTTCTTGACCAAGGAGTTGTACGACTCCTTGTTCTCGCCCTGCCCGGTACGAGAACCCGTCGAATTTTTTATTTTTATTTTTAACATGCCTGAGTACATGAGAACATGCAGTAATTAGTCCACTTCAGCTTTTCTGCTCCAAACATCAACTAACTTTGACTAGCTACAAAGATTGCATCCAAGGATCAAACAGGTTTTTTTCGGCAGAAGGCTACTCCTTGTGCTTTGCCTTGGCCAACAATCACACCTTCGAGTTGTACAAAAATTACAACTCCCAGATGCCCTTGATTGCGGGCCATGACTATTTGAGTCGAGACATAGCGGGAAGATCTCCTGACGTTGCCCTTCAAATAAGTCAGATATTACCTCGTACGAATGAGCGAGAGCAAACACCAATGCATCTAGACAAACTTACAAGGCATGTCAGGTGCTGGCAAGACTGCAGTGGCACGTAATGCCTGCAGCTCGCTTCTGTAGATGCGCATTTCCGCCTGGCAAAATACCTCCTGCAGCGCCAGAAACAACTCCTGCATCAGTCTCTGCTCGCGCAGCGCATGATCGCCAACCGGCACTTTGTTTTCCACTGGGAAAATGTTGCTGGCGGATGAGCCAAGAAGTTCTTGAGCCAAGGGGATGAGACTGCATTCCTCACGCAGATTAAACGGACTTAATCCTTCACGAACGTGAGAGACGATGGTGACTGGGACAATATCTGTGGCAGGCACAAAGGAAAACATCATTCATGTACAAGTGGCCACGAACACAGGCCTATACTTATCAGGACTTACATAGAAGTATGACTCCTGCATACTGCAAGTCTACCAATTTTGAAGAGATAATTGGAAAGGAACAAGAAAAACCCGGCAAGAAGGCTTACAAACGAACTAATATCTTGAATCTCATAAAACCTTGGATACCACATAGCCCCAGTGCAACCGGTTCTCAATATAGTTGTTGCCATAGTTTTCTACCCAAAAAAACAATTTCCTGTGTTCACTTTTGTACACATATGTTAGGTACCTCCTCCCGTACAACCCTTTCCAAGCTGGCCTGCATGCACCCCATACTACGGCGTACTCAACTTTTGTCTCCTTTTGTCACCTTTTGTTCCGTTGGCCTTGGTAGCTACTTGCGCGCCCATATTTGCCATAGCTACCCAGGCCCTTCATCTTGCCGTTCACACTTGATCTCTCTCTCTTGTCTCTCTCTTCCACAATGTAGTCGTTCCGTTCGTCTTGGTCTCTGTCTCTTCGTCTCCCTAATGAATATTGTTCGACCTGACCTGTTCCCGTTGTCCATTGTAATGTTTGGAGAGTATGCCGTCGTCCTTTTCGTACTCAACATTGGCGCCCGACAATTGATCAACCCACGACCCTGAGATCCCATGCCCAGTCGTCCTCAACCGACATTCGTCTCATCGTCAATAATCCTCGTCTCGTCGTCAGTAATCCTCGTCTCGTCTCCAACCTCGTCTCGTCCATGTCAACCTTGTCTCGTCGTCTACGTCAACCTCGTCTCGTCCAAGTCATGCAGGTCAGCTATTTTCATTATTTCTCTCTATATTTTTCATCCGTTCTTCGTCGTCAAATTTATTCACGGTTTAGTATATTTTGTTATTTTTTGTAGTGTGTGTGTGCGCGGGTATCCTTCGTCAATATCAGGGGTTTGATGGAGAGCCACGTGCTTTTATTCATGTTGTATAAGTGTAACTATGTTGGTTAGCCATGCCAGTCAGACCGCAGTGTTCGATCCTTGGAACTCGTAGTTTTTCGTGCCAAATTTTTTGGGGTGAAGGCGTGAAGGCCTTTGGCAATGTTTGTGCTATAGTACTAGTTTGAGTGATGCGTATCATATAATTATTGAGCTAATACTTTAAAGTTTAGGAACGTGATAACTGTAGTGCATGTCTAGTATAACACCTTTGTGACAGCCGTGCGTTGTGTGTGTGTGTGTGTGTGTTTGTGTGTGTGTTTTCTCTCTACTTCCTCAGTCATTTTTTCTCTTCTTTCTCGTCTTATTATTTCCCGCGAGGTCGCGGTTCTTTTTATTGCGCAGGGAAGGTATGTTAGGTACATCCTCCCGTACAACCTTTGCCTAGCTGGCCTGCATGCACTCCATACTACGTCGCACTCACCTTTTGTCACCTTTTGTTCCGTTGGCCTGGGTAGCTACTTGCGCGCCCATATTTGCTATAGCTACCCAGGTCCTTTATCTTGCCGTTCACACTTGATCTCTCTCTCTCTTGTCTCTCTCTTCCACAATGTAGCCATTCCATTCGTCTTGGTCTCTGTCTCTTCGTCTCCCTAATAAATGAGCCAGGGACTACAGTTTGATATCAAAATCAAGTTATGACCTTTCAAAGTCACGTGACTCAAAGTTAGTTATGCGAAGCGCAGAACTCGCAACTTTTGTTTTGACAAGAGTCAAGAGCTGTCCTCTTGTTAGGTGTTCAGTGAAGGATTCCGAGCTCGAGCGATTGTCGAGTAACTCAAGAGGCTCCACTTACTGTGATCGATTGCGGCTAAAACATCTAGTAGATAACGCAGCTCGATTCCGTGTGGAGTCGACTAGTCCCTCATGCGAAGGCGCTTGAATCGGACGACGAGAATTTTACGGATTCAGGGCTGGCACCCGCGAGTCGTCCGCGAGCGATTCCGACACCGATGCTGACAGCGACGGCGATGATGTGCCACCTAAGAAGAAGACGTATGGAGTCACAGCAAGCTCGAGTGCTGCTAGTGTTGTGTCGAAACACCAAGCCCCGACAGCTCGGAAATTTCAAACGCGGAGAGTGACACCGACTACTCGGAATCGGATGACGAACCAGATACCCCCGCACCTGAGCCACCGACGACGGAGCAGGTGAAGCGTGGTCTCCTGTCTTCAGACATACGCGATGGGATTGAGAGAGGCTGTGGAAGCAAGTCGAAGAATCATTGGAAAGTCATCCCACAGCAGCAACTCGAGGACTACATATTTGAAGTCTCTAAACTGCGAGAATCTAAAAAGCGCTTCAAGCAGTTTGTTCTGGGAGTACTGACTTGAAGCATGCGAAAGTCGATGACTGGTGGTGGTGATCGACCTTTCTATTTCCGCTATCATGTACGTGGTTATGAGTTGTGCAAAGACGTGTTCATGGCAGTTCATGCAGTGTTGGAAGTCATATAATGAAGCGTCTTCAAAAAAAGGCAAACAAAGGAGTCGTTCAACGGGCACACCATGGCTTGACTGGGAGAACACCAGAACACTTGGCCATTTCAGCAGACATAGAGCGGGATGTAGTGCAGTTTATTTATTCATATGCTAACATGTACGGTCTATCTCAACCTGCAGCGAAGCGAGGTCGTGCTGAGGACCCTCCAGTATACATACCAGCATCCAAGAACAAGAAGTCTGCATACAACATCTAGACCAAGACCGTCACACAGTATTCGCCTGTTCATTACAGTTCATTTTGCCACATTTGGAGGAGACAGGCAGCACACATCAAAGTGATGAAGCCAAGGACAGACGTATGCGCACTGTGTGACAAGCTGCGGGAAAAAAATTCGTGTCGCCGTACAGAGGAAGAGACGGAATGTAGTGTCCAGGCCCTGCGTTCGCACATATCACTAGCACAAGAGGAGCAGCAATACTACCGAGATTTAGTGGACGGCGCGCAGGCGTCACTGGATGAAGCTGAGGGCATAGTTCACTATACATTTGAACTGCCTAACTAGCAAGAATGAAGATATACAAAGAACATTACAAACTGTGTACATACATTTGCTCTATATCGCTCAATTGACATGCCATTATTATATAGGTGGTTAGGTACATTTTGCCATCGCAGATCAACTTGAAATTTTGTTTGATCACATTACCATACCGTACCAACATTTTGAGAGAAATTTTTTTTCCGTCAAAAAGTGCCATAGGGTGGTTTCTTTAGTCCCTGGCTCAAATGTTGTGCGACCTAACCTGTTCCCGTTGTCCATTGTAATATCTGGAAAATATATCGTCGTCCTTTTCGTACTCAACACATACCACAGTATAGTCACTAAAGTGTCTTAAAACTAATACAGTCAACTTCGCTTATAACGACACTCGGCGGGGCATCAAAAAAGTGTCCTTATTTGCGAAGTGTCGTTATACCCGAAGTCTCATTATATGAGCCTGGATCAGCAAAAACCATCACATGTGCGAAATGTTCAAAAAATATTTTTGTGCTCCAAATTGATCCACAACTACTGATAACCAGTCTCAAGAAATTTTAGATCAATCACAGCACCGTAAGTGACCAAAAAATGCGGTACACCACATCGCTGTACAAATGTTGGAAGTGGCATTTCTGTGTAAGATGCAAGTATGAGCCTTGGTATGTGTCTGATCCTGTTAGGCATTGCCATCACTCAGCCGGCTAAAAAGGAGGAATTTTATAGTCCTTTGGGGTGTACTCAGACACTGGCTTGTCCAAGTAAATCATTGGCTTCACTGACTATTGGGCAGCTAATGGTATATGGCTAAGTTCCAGGGGCTGATATTGCATCCACAACAGGCTCTGAACTGATGCTCTCCAAGCCCTTCACTTCCATGAAAACATATCTGCACACGCAGAGTGCAATCACAGTAGCCATGGTAGCTGTGACTACTTAGCACACAGGCTCGTGAGCGCATGAGGTACGTACTAGGCATTCAACGGTTACCTGACCCTACTGGAACATATTTTTTTGAATTTTTTTGGGAGCTGCTGCATGGACAAAATAAATGTTTCAAGTTGCTCAGCGTCCAAGCCAACGAAGCAGATCTTGTCTGGCGCTAGCTCTCGTTGCTCTTCCACAAGTTCCAGTCGTGAATCGAGACGCCTTTGTTCTGTATCGTCCCTGTCGATATCCGACAAACTTGCTAGTGAAGGAGTCATTCATTGCTCAACAATATCCACTCGAGTCGTCGTCATTCTCATCAGCGCTGCTTTCTTCTACACGAAGTCTGCAGCCTCGCCGAGTCGCTTTGCGCCAGGAGAGAGTCGTCTTCTGGAGCACCGCGGCTTTCACCTGACTCCCTTGATGAGCAATCGCCATCCCAGTCATCACCAAAAAATGTTGTGTCGTGATCGGCGCCAACGACGATCGATGCGCGTGCGATGTTCGCGCCCCGCGATCGTACCTATTCGCCAGCCAAGCTCAGGTACGTGGGGTTTCCCAGGCATGTCTCCTCACTTGCCTGGGGCTTGCCTAGCTAGCTAGTCACTGACAAACAAACAAACACAGGCTTGTCAGGCGGAAAGAAAGACCAGTGACAAGAAAGACAGAAAGGTGATGGGTCCGCGACTTTTCTTTCGCTCGACTTCAACGTCACTTTTTGATCAACTTGATATCAAACACAAGTGATGGTTTTCGCTGATCCGGGCTCATATGTATTACAGTTGGAAAGGACTTTGCTCTGGGCATGGACATGCTGTCGTTATTCGCGAATTGTCGTTATATCCGCAGTCGTTATTAGCGAAGTTGACTGTAGCTTCTACCAAATCAGATGTGACACAGTGCTGTATAGTGAAAGGTGTGGTGGCGGAGGGTGAAAGATGCCACCATTCCTACAATCCGAAGAACCAAGGATTTTCAGCTCTCCACTCAACAAGGGAACCCATCAAGCCGGCTGCCTCACCAGTAAAATAGTTCGAACAAAAATTTGATCATTGCAGGGAGGAGGTACCAAGAGCTATTTGATTCAGATTTTACGAATCATTTTGGTACAGGCAGGCAGGTATAGTGGGATGGTCTAAGACCATGATTGAGAAACAGAGGGTACCAGGTTCAAGTCCTGCTTGAAAGCTGAAGGATTTTTTCCAGCCGTGCTGCGACCCACAGTTAATTGGGAACTCGTGGCCTGGCACGAGGAAAACATGGATGCAGTGAATGGGATTTTCGGTCTTTGACCACATGCTGTTAAGCTGGTCTACTCGCCTCCCACCACTTTAGGAGCTGCATCTGCGCCTTGATCCTTGAAGGGTGGTGGAGTTCCTACAGATGCGGAAAACTCGGCCTCTATATAGAGAAACCGAGTCTCATGCGAACCGTGAATTTTTTTGGTACACAGTGCTTTGGTGATATTTCATGACAGCCTATCGCAATGAAGGAAGACGGATGGCACAGAATACAATCTTACCCAGAGAATTGAGGACGGTCTGGAACGGCGTCCAGAACTGACGTTCTGTGTGATCTCCCGGTCTGGTGTCGTCCATCATAGCCACCATTTTCAGATCTGACACGAACAGTACCCCATGGCATTGGTCTGCCAGCGGACTCTCATCATCATGGCGAACATTCTCCGCAAAGCACTCATCGCTAGAATGTAACTTGTTGGTGATGATGGCCTGCATGAGATCAGCCTCGGCACGTGGTCCACCGAATCTCTCGCCGCTTCCGCGGCTGTTGCGGAACACGATCGATGCTCCGGATGTAGGTGTTGCGCAGAACTCGCTGTCTCGTACTCGGAAATCTCCTTCGCCTCCATCATACACCTAGGGACCGAGAACAGCAAAAAAAACGGAAATTGCCATAGAGGTTACTAGTACCCGGATCACACCTTCTGTTGTGACGCATTGGCACAGACATACTTGGTCCGCGTCAGCAATATTGTCCCTTATCTTTCGACAATTTGAACTTAGACTTTGGACATCATTGCGCGCACTTCAGATGATAAAACTTGGTATGATGGAAGGTAAGGTACAGAATGACAACTGGCCATGAGGATTTTTTCTCCAAGGAAGGGTTCATACTTTTTTTGGTCTTCCTCGTCGCTGCTCTCGGCGCTGGTGACAAATATTTTTTGCTCGGGATCGACACTCTCGCTTTCGCAAGCTCATCTCTCTTCCTCTCCACTGCCTGGCTATTTTCTAAAGGGAAGTCGATAGTGAGGGTCGCCTTCTCTATAGGACTTCGCGTGGGCTGCACGACTGCCTGTGTGGTTCAAATCAGTCGCTGTTCTTTGCAAGATTTATTTTGAACGACGACGACGCATACAGTATTTGCAAATCTCCACGATGCGCTGGAAACTCCGAGCGTTGAGCTGGAAGTGAGGGAACTGCGATCTCAGCTTGGCGATCCCTGAGATGAACGATCTCGGTCGCTTTGCAAAATGGAACTGATTCCGAGTAGCCGATTACTTTCTTGTGTGTCGCGCTGCTCTTGTCTGCGCAGTGTGTCAAGATAATCAATTTTTGATGCGACGCTGTATCAATCAGAATCACCCACCCGTCGCTCTCGAAATCCACTCGAAATCTAGCTAGACCTTTCAGGTACTAGTAAACCAACTTACTAGCCGAAATTGGGGTGAAATGGGCTGCCAAGTGAACTTTGGCGACATAAAAACAAAGCTGGAAGATAAGCGACAATATTGCTGACGCGGACCAAGTAGTATGGTGATGCCTTTGCACAAAAGAAACCTGTGAATCCGCCAACTGACGCTGTATACATACCGCCCATCACCGGTGTCACTGACTCACGTTGCATATACAGTGCCCATGCCCGCACCCAGTGATTCGTCACCATGGCATCACCTCCATACAGGTCGAACCTCGTTTTAGACAACCCTTGGGGGGGGGGGTCAAATTCTTGGCCTTATAACGAGCATTATCCACTGTCTGGAGTTGCACATACGACGTGAAATGCGTTTGAGCCCGTCAGGGGATTTTGCGTCTCTGTCTTCTAATGACGCTTGTCTTGTACGCGATGTCGTACTAACATGGGAAGACCTGTGACCGCAGTGTTAGTGTACCGCCACACTGAAAACAGAAAAAAACGTGACTCACCCCCTCACTCGCAACATCCCCCAGCATTTTCAGGATGTTGTTTTGAGTGTGACTCTTGCCAGCAGCAACTCGTCCCTGGATCGCAATCCTGATGGAACCATAGTCACCAAGCGTCATCAGACCGGGAAACGTGTTCTTGGTCAGTCTCCTTGCGGGGTCCTGGAGGCTGTAATTGCGCAGTAAGTTAATCCCGGCACGCACCTGGGGATGAAAAGAGCAGAATTGTAAAGTTCATGAACAAGCGCTTCGGAGACAGCATATTTATTATCGCAACCAAGAGAACAAACTGTGTCGTAACCATCATGTATTGATGTCTCTCACATGTAGTTAAGTTATACATCGTCAATTAATAATGGTTGCCGCACAGTTTGTCCTCTTGGTTGCGATATTATAATTGTAAAGATATTTTGCAAAGATCCTTAGAAGTAGGACACACTTCAGACTCTTGAACATTTTGAAAGTTTTCACCAGGATACTTTCATGTCTTATCATCATTTCACTTGATGATAAGGCATGAAAGTATACTAGTTTACAATTTTATCTTTCCAAGATTCCTTTTGAACCTCTCTCCCTTGTTCGGACTCGTGTGACGAGCCATTGCAGTGAGCAAGTACAGTATGTGTGTGTGTGTGGGGGGGGGGGGGTGCATGCATGCGTGTGTGCGTGTGTGTGTGTGTGCGTGCGTGTGTGTGTGTGTGTGTGTGTGTGTGTGTGTGTGTGTGTGTGTGTGTGTGCACACCTCAGAGCTCTACAGCAGAGTAAGAGCTGGCTTGAGTAGCATATCAGTCGAGTTGTTTGAGTTTTTTAATACAGTTATCACAGCTGGTAATGATGTTCAAGTAGTGCGAAGGGAAGAGCACTGCGATAATGTTCTTCGTCCAAGTGTTCCGTTGTCCAAGATCACTCACCCTGTCCTCACTCTGTGTGGCTATTGTCTCATTTTCCTCTCGGATAGCATCCCTGACGGCCTCAGTGAAATCCGCAGGCCTCCAATCCTTGTGGACCGTGCATTCCTGCAAGAGAAAAGAGTACATATCAGTACCTTAAAAGTAGCACTTCCAATGGAGGGGAGGGAGAGGGGAAATGGGATGTAAGGACTTCAAATCCCCCGCAACACCACCACCCCCCCCCCCCCCCGCCTCTACATTTGTACTCGTTGCTCACTGCCAGAACTGGTCACGTGGGTCTCCCCGGGAGAGGGGAGAGAGACTCAAAAGGAATCTTGGAAAGATGACACAATTGGCTATTGAACCGCCCAACGGCCGACACCCCTGAAATCACACCAAGGTTCAACTCGAATTCAACTCGAGTGACATGACTACAGTCAACTTCGCCAATAACGACTTTCGGCGGGGCATCAGAAAAGTGTCCTTATTCGCGAAGTGTCCTTATAACCGAAGTCCCATTTGAATGTATGTGAACCCATATTTTGTATAGTATGACATGCATATCAAAATCAAGCTCTTTTCTTGCTCTATGTCAATGTGTACTTTATTTTCATATTGCAGTTGAAAGGAACTAAAAATTCAATATGCAAGGGAAATCAATTGAAAAGTATGCCTTTTTGAGCCATCTACAGGGCCAGAGACATGTACATGTATGATGATTACTGTACTATCTTGTACAACTACATGTACATTGTATGTACATAATTATACATGTAGGTGTGCTGGTAAATCCAACAATTTTGAAGCCAACATAAAAAGGAAGAAAAAGCCCCCCCCCCCCCCTTGGCTGCATTTTCTTGCATGTGTACTTTATATCCATCACCATAGGTTCTGGTACTTCTGCATGACATGTACATGTACTTGACTGACAGGTACTTGAAATACATGTAGCTGTCAAAAGCCCAGAAAGTCGTTATTCAAGCAGTGAATATGACCTCGGGCACTAAAAGCATGTCGCTATACGCGAATTGTCGTTATTCAGATAGTCGTTATATCCGAAGTAAAATGTGTACAGTTAGATGGGACTTTGCTCTGGGCATGGAAATTCGGTCGTTATTCGCGAATTGTCGTTATATCCGCAGTCGTTATTAGCGAAGTTGACTGTAGTCGAATGCACCCAAAAAAGATCGAACACGGTAGTAAATTGTACCCTGCAGGCACGGTGACCAGGTGACTGGTGTACGAAGGAGCACGTGACCACTTGTTCAACCATGTTCGATTGGGAATAAAGGAGGAACGCTGCATCACAGCCTTTTCAGACCAAAACCAGTCGACTCAGCGTCCCAAAGACTACAACATATAGGCCAATCGCGGTCATCCGTGCTTTTATAAGAACGACATCGCGCTTTTAGTGATATTTTGCATACAAATCTCCATCTAGTAGGGCGCAGTCACCCAGTTTCGGTGGAAGTGCGCGAGTTCGATTGGGAAAAAAGAAGGAAGGGAGCGTCTCGGCTTCCTCGGACCAAGACCATTCGACTCAGCACCCCGAAGACTACAACTGGTGGAAATTTGATTTTAGCCTTAACTTCCCCTGTTGTTTCAATACAATTTCCAGAGTAGATGACCGTATTCGTACACCCGCCGAATGGTACACTAAATTCTCTGAATGATTCCATGCTCGATTGCAAAGTTGCAAGTTTCTAAAATTTGAACTGCCGCTCTTGATTGGGATTTGCGTACTCAGAACAGAGCAATCAGTTATTCCATCAGCGATAACACTTGGTGTTGTGTAAAAAAAAGAAGTCCGATATAGTCGGCGGGTGAATGTCAGCAAGTTCATGCACGGTGATGAAATGTCAAGTTCTTACCCGGAAGGTGGATTGCGAGCCACCCATGACGGGTCTGCTTCGCTCCGCGGTCGCTCCAATCAGGCCGCACACACGCCCTAGATGGATTGTTTGTGCCCTGCTTGAGCAATTGAAGAGGAAATTAGCAATGCACTGGAAAAAAATCTGTGACTGCGACTCCAAACCAAGTAGACACACGAGGCAACTAATAATAATAATGATAGCTGCATTCAGAGCAGGACGAATTCCTGCAGCCTGCAGGGGAATTGATCTTCGCACAAAATGCTAGGCATGGAGGGTATGTGAGCACAGTCTTCAATCCACAGTAGTAGTCACCAGGAGCCTCGTATCTCTGTGCAAATCCACATTTCCTGGTTCTTCTCTCTGCGATGTTTCGACTGAAATGGGTCTAGAGATCTAGCTAGCTGACCAGAGTACAGACTCAGTAGACCTAACTACCAGGGAGCGTGTGGTAGATTGACGTGGTGTGAAGAAAATGAAGACTGGGGAAAGTATTAGTTGTCACCCTCACAAGTCACAGTCACAGACACCGGTACGCAGGACCATGGCGGGGCCATGGCCCATGGGTTAGAAATGCCATGCGGTCTGATGATGTGCTCATGTTATGCATGCTCCTTGTCATAAGTAGATCTACAAGATGATTATTGTGATCGTGCATGCATCGCAAGTATTGCATAGTGCCAGAAGTGATCGGTGATGCATGAACCGAGGTTCAACGACCATTGTTTTCACGCTCCCTGATGTCTTTCAGTGAGTGATCGTTGCTGATCGACTGCTGAAAGACACGAACACGCGGAGCTATTCTGCACTCAAGACATCGTATAATCATGTACTGGTACCTAGTATGTACATGTGCCATAAGGGAGTGACTCATTTTCCCTTTCTCCGTTCTTTCGTTTCCATATCGCTCAGGTAGGTCTACTGCCAAGTACTGGGTAGACCATGAGACATGGTAGACTGAAACGTGAAAGTCATTGCCGATCTACACGTGTGTGATCATGGTGATAGTATCGGATCGTCTGACTCCAAAACCCGCTCAGTACCACAGACTATGGCATCCTGGGAAACGTACAGCCACACTCGCAGACGTGCGAAAGTTTCGACACAACCAGGAAACAGACGCACTGCATGCACTGCAACCACGCATGTATGATGTATGCAGTGTTGCCACGGAGTAGAGCCACTGGCACTGGACTGTAGTAGAGGCCTCCACCATGTCCACCGCTCCAGGTCCAGGTCCTGGGTCCAGCTCTGACCCTTCAGCGGAAACTGCACACGTCACCTTCATTATCAGTCTTGATCTTGTCTTGTCAAACTCGCCGAGTCGGCGTAGTCGTAGATCTAGGGAACACCGTCTGAAAATCTCGGTCAACCAAGTTCTGCCGCGCTGCACATCTCCGGCTACTGGCAGCAGCTAGCGAGAAAAGCAGTTTTCTGAGCTGGGTCAAGTATTACTTCGTCGTTGCATTGCGGCAGGCGAAGTGCAGGCTTGAGTTTGGAGAATACACGTTCAGCAAGGACAGACACTGGCGTCGCAATGGGGCCGTGGGCATCCAAGGTAGGAAAACTGCCCTGTAACCTGTTTTCGACTTGGCTCAGCGCTGTCAAAATAAGTTTCGTACTTCCCGAACTGCTTGCCATCTCATTATTTTTATTCTATTATGCTGACTGTCTGGCAGAGCACGTTCACAGAAACCTTGGTGAAAAGCAGGTGGGACCCCGAGCAATTCGAAATTGCCGCGAGGGAATTCCTGAAAGCAGAACTTCAAGATGCCGAAGCTGAGGATTGCGAGCGTCACAAGTACCGTGTAAGCTAATAGTCTTGTGTTCGCCGAAATTGTGATAAAAGTGTATTCCAAGGGAAAGGAAATACTCAGGCGCGTGCGCCGGTGCCCTTCAAGGGGGGGGGGGGTTGGGGGGGGGGCCTCCCCCGGGAAAATTTTCAAAAAATGAAGCAAAATCCTGCATTTTGAGCGAAAAAAGGGGGGTTTCGGCCACCCAGGAACCCATACGGCGCACCCACGTGATACTAGTACATGTATTGCAATCTAAAGCTTTACTCTCGGCGCAGGGGGTGTTGTAGGCAATTTGCAGAGGCAGGAATAGGAATAGGATTATAGGTGGATTTGTCGCAGTGCAATGCTTTTCAAAAGCAATTTTCGCACATGTTCTGAAATTATGTTGCCGCTTTCGTGGCCGTGGGAGGGGGGGGAGGGACGGTGTGTAGGATACCGACCCTTCAACGGAAAACTAGTCTACAGGATGTTAAATCGTGGAACGACATGTCATCAAAAGACAATCCTTAGATCGTGCACTGCACCTATGGATCAAGCCACAGAACAAATTTGAATATCACAATGAGAGATCAAAGGGAAAGTCAACCACAGAATGTGTGTACTCGCAAAACTACTCTGCCATCGAAATTGCAGGGCACATGACCATCAAAGCTGAGTAGTCAAAGAGGTCTGATGTTGGTAGACAAATACCTGCATTTCTGCATGACCACTGGAACATGAGTGAGAGCAAAGCAGCCAGAATACACCGCACATGTAACTGTCAAGATGTTTGGCATCGCAGTGTTTCTTCAGTAGGTTCCACGCCGCAACCGACGGAACCAGTTGTTGCTGGGTCTGGCCATACAATAGTCTTGCATACATTGTGAAAGATATGGTTGGTACACATGACCTCCTTAGCAGCAAACTGGTTCATGAGTTGGTGACCAAAATTCTTGAGTGCAGTCTCATGGAAGAGAGACACAACAAGCTATAAAACCTTGAACAGCTTGGCCAAGGCAAAGATGGAATCCTGCGAGATGCTCATCAAATATTTTGAACTGTGGTGCAGTTTGGCCAATTTGCGCCTTCTGGCCATGTTTTCTCAGAAACCTCTATACGTTGGTTGACATTCTCTTTATGACTATTCTCCTTTGTAACTGCTCTTCAGCTCCAGGAATGCTTGGACCGGTTGCGGATGTATTCGCTGGCTGTTCCAGAGGGTCGTCTCACCAAGGATACCTTTCCGGGCCTGATGAACATGAGGGATTTCGGGTCGCTAAGAATCGCGCTGCTCGGACGGCCGAAGATGGGGAAGAGCGAGACAACGAACAGCATCCTCCGGCTATTCAATCAAATGGCCTGTGAACAGGTGTGTTGCTCTTATCTATACAGTATGTTCTTTTGCTGGTGGGTAAGAAGGAGTTTTTATTTTGGCTTGCTGGATAACGCAGTCGAACCTGCATGCTAGCAAGAGCACAGAGCCAAGGCAGGGCCATTGGAGTAGGTACGACTGGTACGACCATGGCCGTACCACTTCTGGCCACCAGTGGTCACCGTGAAACGCTCAGAAAAGCAATAAAAAAGTATCGAAAGTTGGAAATTTCGCGTGTCGTACCTGTACCCCGAGGCCCTGTGCCCTACAGGCTACAAGACTCTTGTGCTAAGTTTGAGTGTACGAGTCGTAGCACCTCAAAAATCCTCATGTACTCTACAGCAGATCTCTATGCATGCGTAATAGCCATTCAAGATATGCAACAGGGGTGTTTTCTATTGCATGGAATCCCGAATTTTGCTAGCATGGGGCTACCACCACCCCCCCCCCCCCCCCCACTCCGCAAGGGGCTCTGCCCCCTTCACCCCTGCCGGGGGACACCCCCGGGCCCCCCACCGTACTTCCAACGGCCCTGCAAGAATGTAAAACTACTTTCTTCAGCTGTGATGTTATCAGGCTCATCAACAAATGGTTGTGTGCTTGTGTGTGAATTTGTGTGTGTGTGTGTGTGTGTGTGTGTGTGTGTGCGCGTGTGTACATGTGTTTTTGTGTGTGTGTGTGTGTGTGTGTGTGTGTGTGTGTGTGTGTGTGTGTGTGTGTGTGTGTGTGTGCGTGCGTGTGTGTACATGTATGTGTGTTCATATATATGTGCCTGTGATCCCTTCCAGGTGTTCTCAGTTGGAGAGGGCGACAAAACTGTCCGCGACGCTCCTCTATACTGTCATGATCCTTTGGTAGGCAGACCTGCCGATGACGCTGAACCGGAGCGGTCAGCAATCACCTTCAGGAATAGCAGGGGCAGCGGTGAGCTTTCAAATGAGACGGAGAGGAACGTCATGAGCGATGTGTTGACCAACAAGCTGCATCCCCCTGAAGAGTGCAAGGAGTCGCAACGCGATGAAGAGAGTCATATGGCTGACCAATGTCATTCTGCCATGTTTGTCATCTCATTTCGCGCATTGAACAACGAAAGTACTCTGGAGCAGCAGTTCTGGGAGCCGTTCAGGCAATTATTTAAGGATATGGGTGAGCAAGATCTTGTTTACTCCACTGTTGTTCCTATGGTACGAATAGAATGTACCAAACTTCAAACCTCATTCCATGTTTTGGGATCCAAACGGACCCCAGGGTATGGTTTTCGGTATAATCTTAATTTTTTTATGATATCAGGGTAGTTTTTCATGTCCAAGGTGGTTTGAGAAAGTCTTATAAAGACCTTAGAAAAGATGCGTCATGTTCATGGTTATGGTGTATGAGATTGAGCTGGGCAATGTGGACGTCTCCAACCTATCTCACATTAAATTTTATAGGTCATTCTGGCGAAATTCAATCAACTAGCATGTTGGAGGCACAACGACACTTCTCAACTTGGTGACATCAGCTGACAGGGCTGCCCATTAGACTATTCTCTACAGTTGATTGAGTGTGTGTGTGTGGGGGGGGGGGGGGGGGGGGAGGAGGAGAGACGCTTCAACTGTGCCCCGGAGTACAAAATGTATTGCTTTGTAATTGCATGACATAGGAAGAGGAGTCACCCCCCCCCCCCCTTACTTTCCCACATTCTAAAAATGCAGTCCTATTCCCACCTAGTGTACTCTGTAATAGATTCACATTTGGCAAATTGCTTGCATAACAAAATTAAAATTCACTTTTTAAAAGAACTCAGATGGTGAGCCAAGGAAAAAATTATAACACTGAAATATGTGGGCACAAGTTATGCAACCGAGTCCACCAACCAAACAAGATTTTGAACAGTCAGACGTGGACAATCTGGCACAAAACTGACCAGGAGTACTGAGACATTCGACGGCATGAAAGTCAACTTGAGCACAGTCTGACTGTTCACAATCTGGTTTGGTAGGTGGACTCGATTGCATAGCTTGGGCCCACATTTTTCCATGTTAAAATTAACTTGGTTCCTGCAGTAGACCATGAGTATATAACTGAAGAAATCACAGTGAGGCTGAGACTTGACTAGCCTGAGTTTTCGGCATCAGTAGGAACACGACCTCCCTGACGGACCATTACGCATAACTACAATCATTATGTATATTATATGTACTGCCGTCTGCTTCATCTCGTGTTGTACCGTCTGCTTCATCTCGTGTTGTACCGTCTGCTTCATCTCGTGTTGTACCGTCTGCTTCATCTCGTGTTGTACCGTCTGCTTCATCTCGTGTTGTACCGTCTGCTTCATCTCGTGTTGTACCGTCTGCTTCATCTCGTGTTGTACCGTCTGCTTCATCTCGTGTTGTACCGTCTGCTTCATCTCGTGGTGTACCGTCTGCTTCATCTCGTGTTGTACCGTCTGCTTCATCTCGTGTTGTACCGTCTGCTTCATCTCGTGTTGTACCGTCTGCTTCATCTCGTGTTGTACCGTCTGCTTCATCTCGTGTTGTACCGTCTGCTTCATCTCGTGTTGTACCGTCTGCTTCATCTCGTGTTGTACCGTCTGCTTCATCTCGTGTTGTACCGTCTGCTTCATCTCGTGTTGTACCGTCTGCTTCATCTCGTGTTGTTGCAGATATCACCCCGGTGACTTTTGTCACCCACACGAGACTTCTAGAGGGCCAGCTTGACCCCCACTCCAGTGAGCCCATCAGTGTACAGGGTATCATTGGTTCCATGCCGTGCAATGTGTTCCCGATCGAGAACAAGAACCCCACGTCCAACCCTGACCTAGTCCTGCAGCGACTGAGACAAGAGTTATCGCTCGCCCTGATGGAGACGATCTATCACGCCGAAATGCGCTTGTATCGACGAGAGCTTCAGGCACTTCACGGTGAAAAGGAAAATGATGCAACCATTACACCAGGTGAGTGGAATGCTTCGGGTATAGAGGTGCCGTTCTGCAAATATGACTTTGCCAACGAATCAATTGCACTACGTATGTATGTGTGTGTATGTGTGTGTGTGTGTGTGTGTGTGTGTGTGTGTGTGTGTGTGTGTGTTGGGGTGTTTGGGTATGCATGCGCGCGAGCGTGCGTGCGTGTGTGTGTTTAAGACATGAAACATGTTTCGTATAAATGATGAACAAATTTGCCAATAACCAATCGCATTACGTTGATATAATCAACCGGCTATTTTTGGTGGTTGTGTATGGGTTTTTCTGCAGAGAAGCACAATGTGACAAGATTTCTGCGCACAGTTGCGACCAAATATGCTTGGCCATCGCATCGTCTTGTTAGGGTGGAGGAGAGTCTGAACAGGCAGTGGCTGAGGATGAATCTCCAGGAAGACACCACACACGTGACAATGGATCATCTGAAACAGCTGCTGAACGCTACCGATGTGTTCCAGGACCTGCGCAACTGTGCTCTGTGGAGTGCGTACGGAGTGGCCAACCTGCTGGTGCAGCTGAGGAAGGAACTGCGATTGCCGACCTGTGAATCTCACAATACATAATTGGTGAATTCTCTTCAGGGCTCCACCGATGTGTCTACAGCTTCTCTCTTGCCTGTAATTCAGCAGATCGTTACTCACACAGGTTGGTCTAGCGTCATTTGTATTCAACACGATTGAAGTTGCATTCACGTGTCTTGCACTAGACTATCGATTTTGGAGCATTTGCATGCGCGCGTTATTTTTCCATTACACATGCGAGTCATGAAATTGTGCAAGCTTGCATCTCCTCCACTGGAATGCCAGTCAGGGAGCATTGGACCACGCATGTAGACGTGCATTGCCATTAGACTACAGGTCATGCAGAGATTGTACGTATGCATAGAGAACCGTGTTTCGCCTTTGCATGATTCCTCGCTGCAATGCTCTTGTCTAAAGCAGATCTTTAGATCGTTATGCCATCATTCAGCTTTCATTTGATTTCACCAGGTTTATGGCTGTTTCAGTGCCACCCTGCTCTCTACTTGGATTAGAATTCCGAACACCTTCGATGCCCATAGAATAATGTTGCTGCTTTGTTGTCGACTGAGCACAACATGTACCTAGTTCCCGTTCTGCCTTTACGCGTGTATTCACAGTCTTATTGCTCCTAGCTGAATGACATCTAGGCGACTGGAATTAGTGGTACATGGGGAAACAAAATACTGACCGACATGTGTACCATGCCATGCTGCACTGTCCCTCTGCAATGTTATGCAAAAGACGTTACGTATTGCCTTTATCTGCTACGACAGTTGTAACATTTCCATCCGTTTCATGATGAGCTAGGCGAGAAAGCATAGCGTACACCGGTAAGGGTATATACCCCATCGATCATGAGCTACCAAGCTCTCTCGTTCACAACTCAATGCGTAGTTCTCTAGTACGCTGCACATACACTGCGATTGATCGACTGGGAACTGCATGACCACGATGACTGTAGATCTACTGTCTGTAGACTACAGCTAGACAGACTAGCTGTACAGTGTAGATGTCTACACTACTACTGTCACTACATTGTAGTAGTGGAAGTCAGTGATCAGCGAGCGAGTGTGACACAAGGTAGGGACAGAAATGGGGATCTTCCCGGTGCTCTACCTTCCCTGCCTTGAAAGACTAAGTAAGTAATACTAGTTGGAGAATGCACTGCACCGATAGTGTACGAATGAACGAAGCACGCGCTGAGTGATGCTGATAATGACTGTGATAATGCATACGACTCGAGTGTATACATGTAGTACATTTAGTTCCACTAGGTTGCACTCAAAATATTTCAACCTGAAGCCAGTGAAGGCCGAAGCAGACAGCAGCTACAAAAGTGTAGTACAGTACTCGGGATCGGAGTCACGCATGCAGTTCTGATTCAAAGTGGCCATAAATTTATTTTGACTAGTAAAAAGCGGCATCAGACACCAGAAAGTTTCTACACCGCAAGCAAACATACACAAACAGCAGAGGCTGACATCGCTGGGACACGATGTGAGCAGTTTTCCGGGAATTCCTTTCAGAAATTTCCTCAACAGCAGCGGGGCAGTTCAGACACTGAAACTTGTAGTACAGAGGTAGAATGCAGAGTGACCAACGGAATCATTTCCTTTGCTACCCTCAGCTGAGGTTTGCAGTAGTTGTTTTCATCGGCGCGTAGAGACGAGCTTGTTCCTTATCCGACCGTGCACGGGAGGTGAGTCGTAGCAACATGGGCATCGGTCAAGATCGCGATTTGCTCCGCTTGCTAGATCCTTGTCTGTCGGGCTTTGTTCTCATGTATGCTTAGCTGTGTGTCATTGGCTGATGCGGTAGGCGAAGCGGAGTCGCCATTTCCCTCTGTGTGTCCAACAGTCCTGCTGTGCATCACTGGCTGAGCACGTAAGTGGGGATAAGCACAGGTCTGAGGTCGTAACGTAAAATTCTCACTTACAGAAACATGTACGTCACGCGGCGGTATGTTGGTGAACGGGCAAGGCGTGCAGGGGCCGCAAATAATTGCCTCAGTCTAGTGCCTTCAGAATGAATAACGAAATTCAGGAAATCAACGTGAAAGTACTCCCACTGGTATGACGCTCGAAACGAATTCATCAAAATTGTGAAGAGTGTTCAGCGTTTCTAAAGTCAGACCTCGCTTATCCGGTCCTCGTTTTTCCGGATCCCTCGCCATCCCCAAGAAAATAGCTGGTTACAGATTTACGGCATACGTGATGCATCCAACATAACGAGTGTTCCATTATCCGATTCCCTCGTCTATCCGGATATTTTTGTGGAAAACGGATGTGTTCGGTTCAGAGAAGGTCTGACTGTACAGGCCCGCCGGAAGGTGGGCGAAGTTGGTCCGGTTTGAGGGGGTTGGGGGGGGGGGGGGGGGGTGGGGGATCTCCCCCGTAATGTTTTTGAAAAAACGGTCAGAAATAGGAGAATTTGGCCCTTTCACAAGTTTTCAGAACAAACTACAGGGAATAATTTTGCATGGATGTACAAATGTATGACCCACTATGGGTGAATGTACATACATGTACATGTATGTATGTATGTATCATCATCATAAGCCCATAGCCCAAAGGCCGTCGGGGCATCACAGAGCAAGTATGAACAAGCGAGCGCCATAAAAATCTATCGCGTGCGGCAGCTAGCAAGGACTGCACGTCAAGTGCAGTCAATGAAATAACATTATCAAGCCATGACATTCTAGGCCTGCCTCGGCCACGACCTCCAGCAACACAACCCTGAAGAACAGTCAATGACAAACAGCCGGAACGAACAATATGACGAAAAACATTTTTCTGGTCATGAATGTATGCATGTATATATGTATGTATGTATGTATGTATGTATGCACGATCGATAATACATGGAAATGACAATGTATGTACAGGTCGTCCCTCGTTAATACATAATCTCTCTTGACAAATGTTATGTATTAACGGGTGTAATCGAATTCCTTTCTACTTTAGGTCGGACCCTAGAGCACTACCAATTCCGTCTGTAGGCTCCCTCGATCCCTCACGACCACACACTCAAGACCCCAAATACGGCTTGTTTACAGGAATTTGTCTAAAAGGAGAGTAAAAAGATCCACAAAAGCCAGCCTGATGCCGCGAGGTTCATGCCCTCACGCGCATCAAAGAACCATAGCAAAAATGGCGCACAGCATGATCAGATCACATGATCATGCTCTGATCAGCGATTCAAAGCGAGTCAACATATGATAACTAAATTATTGGAATCTTTCGAAAAACTATGATGTCAAAACATCAGTACATTTAGAGAATTATTTGAACAAGATCGAAGGAGAAGATTGATTACTTTATAATGAACTGCAAATCATGCAATTCCATTACACGGGGTTTATGTACTAAACGAAAGTGTACATAACTTGCTTGTATACCAGAATTTTTCACTTTTTTCAACTTTTCTGAGTGTTTCTTGCTGCCATGACTAGGGAGCGAGATATTCTTGATTCCCTCGATATAACATAAAAATTATGTTATAACGGTCACAGTCAGCGAAGATTCTACAGTTTACATGATACATGCCCAGCGGCGCCTGTACAGTCACTCGAAAAAACAAGAGCTTTGTCGGTTTGTGATGTGCGCTCTGATTTCTGAGCTAATTGCGTCCACAAGTAGAAACTAGAACACGATGTGCGTCCACTGGAAGGCCAAAAGACCAACAAATTATGTACTATTGAGGTAGGTGGCATGCGGGTACGGAGAAATGTTATGTACTAACGGGGTTTATGTACTAACGAATTATGTACTAACCGACAAAATTTGTATGGAAGTGACCACGTTTCGTCCGGGACTTGAGATTTCTTATGTACTAATGGGGTTTATGTACTAACCGGACTCGTATTAACGGGGGACGACCTGTACCCAGAATTTTTTCTCCCCGGTTCTAGACAAATCTCAGGGAGTGAGCAGAGGCAGAGTTGGTCCGGTTGTCGCCGGACCGATTCCGGCGGCCCTGCTGCACCAGTAGTTTCCTTCCCATTTCCATGTATTCCCCAGCCTGTATTTCACTACAAAAGGAATACGCTCAATGTATCAGTACAAACAGTGATGCCTGCTGAGTCTGAGCTCCGGATGTAAAGCCAAACGCCACCAGCAAGTGCCCTCTTTGTGATCCTAATATAGCTCTCATTCCAGCTCACAGGAGTACACCAGTATGCAGACCCTCCTTCTAGTCTGTCTCATTCCGCCCCGAGATATTTTGATGCATAGTGATTACGACGCTCATCATTCGCTCCCTTGTCACTGGACAGTTCTGTTCGTTTGGTTTTAGCGAATTCAAATGAAGAAAACAACAATACTTGAGGTGCTTCCAAATGCATCAACCAGATCACTTTGTCCTCAGAGACACATGCATTGGTCAGTATTCTGCAATGTTATTGCATGAGCTGATTGCTTAGCAACTGGTGGTGTTAGTGGACAGTATAGCGTGTGGACATTATAGCATAAATTGTTCCTTGGTCCGTTTTCTTTGCCATGAATCAATCGAGCTAGTTATTATAAGAAAAGGGGCCAAGGAACTGCAGTTATTGCGCTATTGTGCTCAAACCGAGGACAGGACTGTTTCGTCCTTTGTGGACTCATCTGCGCAGCACAGAGAAAAGGAAGCTGAACCTAGCCATAGTGCTAGCCTATAAATAGGTTGGCTGATGTCTCACTGCTCCCACTTGTCCCCCGAATGTATTCGTCTCTTTTATAAATGCTACCTCCTTCCTATCTTTCTGTACGGCGCCACTGCTTGGCATTCCCTGCTTAGTAAATCTGCTGTACAGACACTAGAAATACATCATAAACGTGTGTTGAAAATTATTTTTCGTAAACCCCTCTCTTTTCCCCTCTACTGATCTATATAGTTTGGCCTCCACCAGCCCCATCTCTATCCTGTCGCAGAGACAGTCATGTGTTCTGGTCCATCGTATTAAACTGAACATTGTCCCTGAACATCTCACCAAATATAATTGGTTTACTTTCGCACGGGACACTCGCAATGGCATAGTACTTCCCAGAGCTTTGTCAACTATGTTTACCAAATCTCCTATCTTCTCTGCATACTCGTATTGGCTCAAGCTGCCCATGGAAATGAAGACAATATCCAATATTAGACAGTTCATAGACCATGTTAAATGTCATGCCACGTTGTAGGCTCGCTTGCCTCTTTTGCTAGCTTATCTCGCCGCTCTCCACCATGGTCAACATGCATAGTGATACATTTCACCCCGCTGATGCATTATTTTCTTCCGATTATCATCTTCTTTCCTTCATTTTTTTTCTTCTATTGCCATGGCTGGCTAACGCCCCCTCCTTTGCATTGGCTTCTGCCATTGGACGGTGACATAATAATAATAATTATTATTTTATTTTTTCCTATATTTTTAAATAAAATTGGATTTGAACCAGCACTATAAACATTCCTCAATACACTTTGCATACAGTCACATACACTTTATTCCAAGTTGCTTCACGTTTCGTCAGATACAGAGAAAGGCACAAGTGCCATCAGCATGCGTGGCTCGTATCGTCGGCTGCCGATTGTAAATACGGCTCAAATGGAAATTACGACATTGACAAAGTGACTAGGCAGAAAAAAGCCATTTTTGCGCAAAAATGTGTTGGATTCTGCTTGTTCCCCAGGAGTTACAACAGAACCACCATCCATTTAAGGATCTCTTGTGAATGTTTTGGGTTCTTGTGGCTTTTGACTTGCACTCATACCTCGTTTATCCGGGCCGGCTGGGACTGGGCACTGCCCGTAACTTTGAAATGTCCGTAACTCCCAATAACATATATTTTGATGCTGAGAGGCCAGAGATGTGGCATTTGACGTCACTATTTCCACAAGATTTCGACAAAAGAGTAGTAATATTTCCACTGAAACGCGCCCAAAGGGTGCCCGGTAGACCGAAGTGGCGGTAACTTTCGGGGGGGGGGGGGTGACCGCGGTAAGAGTGTAGTTGGAAATATACACGTCTAACTCACTCCACCTTTGTGCTATTCATGTTCTCATCTCCAGAATGAGTGAGGAAGAAGGAGGCTCTGACATGGCCAGCCGATCGAGCCAAATTCCTAGCCCGGTGCCTCCACAGGATGATCCACTGAAGACACATCGTGTTAATGACGATACCACCGTCTTCATTTTCCATGGCAATTTTTGTTCGCCTTGGGGAGATGACGAGGTGAGTCATATCTGCTGTGCTCGAATTGCTGTCCAACCATTTCGAATCTTCCATTAATGTGGACAACCCCGCATTCTCATGTCAGGAGTGGCCGCTTCAAACCTAGAGGAAAAGAAGGAAAATCAGACCCTAAACTTCTCCCATCATCTCACCCTCCCTCACACTATGTCCCTTGGTCTGGCTCTCTATATCTCGTTCTCTGTCACTCACAACTAGTATCAAAGAGAAGGACGTGCACGGTCCTCAACATAATCACGAAATTCGAAAATATTGTTTCTGGCAAAGGGGCTAGCTGCTACAGTACAGCACAGCCACCACGTAGATCTAACGGCTCGCCATCTTGTTACAACAATGATCTCTCTGTTTATGTACGGGTACAATAGTCTACTGCCCTTGGACTTACATGTACGGGTGGTGTAAGTGGACATTATAGCATAACGTGTAGTTCCTTGATTCTTTTCTTTCCTTTACCTGTCCTTGCGTCTCCGTTCTAGTCTATAAATCTTTCTGTCAATATCTATTATAATATCAAGAGTCCATAACCCCAAGAGTGTGCAACTGGGGTCTGGCTGCTGTAGGCCCACTGTGCGGCGGAATTTCAACATTGCGTCATGCCGCTGAGGCACAAGTGTACAAAACTCCGCATTCCGCGGTGCTTGGAACCAGGGAGTAGTACAAGCGCAACGAACGTGTACGTCATTCTTGACGTAATTTCGGAATTCCGCCGCGTGGATCCCCATGTGCAGAGTTGCACACTCGTGATGGGGTTACGGACTCTTGGTAATACGTATATCTGTCATCCTGCTTCATGATCTTACATTGAAAGCATTATTTGATATTTGTGATTTTGTGTTCCTTCCTGTATGCCCTGCTGTCTCATCAGCACTGGCCTCAACTGACTGCGAGGATAGACAAGGCTGCTGAGGCTATTGGCAAAGCCACTGATTGGGCGGAAAGAGTGGATGGCAATACTTCTCCTGGTGAAATTGAACGGATATGTCATAGCATCACGCAAAATGCTTCGGGCCAGCCCAAGGAAGAGTGCAAGAATGTGTTCATTGTCCTGAGCTTTGACAGCACATTCCTCGATGAGCCTCCAGGACAGGAAGCCATGAAAGCAGCGTTTCAGAAGCTGGAAGATGCCCATGGGGGCGGTAAGTGTCAGACCTGCTTGTTTCCATGTCTGCCGTCTTTTTGATTTCTCCAAAAAAACCATCACAATATTGGCTATAAATGGAAGTGGTATGTCAAAGATTCTGTTAGAGGGTGGTCCTGCCAACCGCCCATATTTGTCCATATGCTTACGTTATTACGAGGCATGGTGGGCATTACACTTTTAGTATGAGATATACCACAGAATTGAAGCATTTGATGAAGCATGGTAGGTGGTTGAATCCTGTCTAATGCACTATGCGATTCAATGTAGCTAAGCCTTTGTTTTTGTTTTGTTTTTAAGCTGTATAGTGGGCGAAAGAGATTCTTGACAGGATTACAGGAATAATAGTTCAGCTTTCCTGGAAAATCGATTCATTTTTACTTGAACTATCTGTAGAATACGCTAATCTATGTAAAATCATGCAAACATGCAGTATTCAGTGCGCCAAGGATAGCATAGTGCTTGGCAATACTGAATCAGGAGTGTACACCCGTACGGTACTGGACTACATGAAGTGGATGTACAGTGAAACCTGTCCAAGACGACTCCTCGAGGGACCTCCAAAACGTAGTCTCCGCTACCAGGTGGTCTCTCTATCCAGAGTCATTTGACTGGAACTAGCACCCCTCGTTCCTGGTGCCAGTGTTCTTCTGGGACAGGTGTTCGCCTTATCCGAGTGGTCGCCGTGACTGGTTTTGCTGTACCCAGGTATGTGGCTATTGCAAAAGCGGAAATTTCCGGTGGTGTAATATTTTCGGTATTCTCCAAAATCAGCGGTTCGGCGGAGGGATATTTTCGGTAAACCCATTTTCCAGGTAAGTTTACTAGTACTAGTACCGAAATTTTCGGTGCATTTTAGGCAAAAATTGACACCAAAGTTACCGAAAATAGAACACTACCTAAAATTTCTGTTTGTACAATTTACAGCATCTGCGCTTATACAGTACAGTACCTGTACCTGTATACTGTTTCTGTTCTCTGCAGAACATGTGCTCGTTTTTCTCAGAGGCGAAGAGCATATAAATATGGGTGACGACACGGCGGCTGTCAGAATGTCGAAGTACACATTCAGTTTTCGGCCCAGTGACGAACAAGACAAAAGAATCTTTGAACTTCTCGGTCTGAACCGATGCGGTGCAGATACCGGTGCCTCCTGCAAGGTAAGATGAGTTTTATTAATTTTGCGTTGATCGCACGTACTGTCGTAAGTGCAACGTACTGTGCAGCATCTCATGCAACTGTGGAGGGAATCGCTGTCTGCAGTCGGATGCGTTTTCCAGT